CATTGTGGAGTTACTGTTTGTTACATGAGGGTTTAGAGTGAGGCGATAGAGTGTATAAAAGCACCCAGGGTTGAATCAGTGTGTCACAGTAATGTAGAATCAGTGTTGGTGCAGTGTCTGAAACAGGAAGGGTCAATAGTTTGGACAATAGAAAATTGATCACAACGCCAGTTCTCCACAAATAGATAGGGAGGTCCAATTTGTACAGGGCTTGTTCTACTGCCTATAAGTTAAATCAGGCACACGAAGAAGACACTCATTGAACCAAAACAGGAAGAAAAAAAAAACACACAATAAAGGAAAACAAACATGGTTGTGTGTGAGAGTACAGTATGTCATTCCCCTTGACCATCTCGACAGAAACTGTGTAATAGCACTTGGAAGATTTGTGTAACGTAACTGTATAATATTTTTCTTTTTCTGTTTTACTCCTCTCAGGATCGTCATCATGCATTTATTTTCTTCGTTATGAGTTTGAATAAATGTTTCTTTCTCGCTCTCTACAGAGGCACATAAAGGAAACACAAGGAAATCCCATGACTGAGCCACGGTTCTCAGACAACACATTATCTCAATAAAAATGGAACCATGCACTTTATAGACTAGACTGGCTTCACGTGATGATATATGATTGGCTTTCCATTTCAGCCTATGAGGAAAAGGTGGCCACCAGGCATTCAGTTTGTTCTTTGTTTAGCTTTTTTTCTTTTGTTTTCTTATACTCCTTTTTCTTTAAACAGACTTTCAGGGACAAGACATGGACACAGAAAAATTCACATTGAGGAAAATTTTTACATACACTACCGGTCAAAAGTTTTAGAACACCTACTCATCCAAGGGTTTTTCTTTAATTTTACTATTTTCTACATTGTAGAATAATAGTGGACACCAAGCTATGAAATAACACATATGGAATCATGAAGTAACCAAAAAAAGTGTTAAACAAATCAAAATATATTTTATACAGTGGGGAGAACAAGTATTTGATACACTGCCGATTTTGCAGGTTTTCCTACTTACAAAGCATGTAGAGGTCTGTAATTTTTATCATAGGTACACTTCAACTGTGAGAGACGGAATCTAAAACAAAAATCCAGAAAATCACATTGTATGATTTTTAAGTAATTCATTTGCATTTTATTGCATGACATAAGTATTTGATACATCAGAAAAGCAGAACGTAATATTTGGTACAGAAACCTTTGTTTGCAATTACAGAGATCATACGTTTCCTGTAGGTCTTGACCAGGTTTGCACACACTGCAGCAGGGATTTTGGCCACTCCTCCATACAGACCTTCTCCAGATCCTTCAGGTTTTGGGGCTGTCGCTGGGCAATACAGACTTTCAGCTCCCTCCAAAGATGTTCTATTGGGTTCAGGTCTGGAGACTGGCTAGGCCACTCCAGGACCTTGAGATGCTTCTTACGGAGCCACTCCTTAGTTGCCCTGGGTGTGTGTTTCGGGTCATTGTCATGCTGGAAGACCCAGCCACGACCCATCTTCAATGCTCTTACTGAGGGAAGGACGTTGTTGGCCAAGATCTCGCGATACATACGGTGCAGTCGTCCTGTCCCCTTTGCAGAAAAGCATCCCCAAAGAATGATGTTTCCACCTCCATGCTTCACAGTTGGGATGGTGTTCTTGGGGTTGTACTCATCCTTCTTCTTCCTCCAAACACGGCGAGTGGAGTTTAGACCAAAAAGCTCTATTTTTGTCTCATCAGACCACATAACCTTCTCCCATTCCTCCTCTGGATCATCTAGATGGTCATTGGCAAACTTCAGACGGGCATGGACATGCGCTGGCTTGAGCAGGGGGACATTGCGTGCACTGCAGGATTTTAATCCATGACGGCGTAGTGTGTTACTAATGGTTTTCTTTGAGACTGTGGTCCCAGCTCTCTTCAGGTCATTGACCAGGTCCTCCCCTGTAGTTCTGGGCTGATCCCTCATCTTCCTCATGATCATTGATACCCCATGAGGTGAGATCTTGCATGGAGCCCCAGACCGATGGTGATTGACCGTCATCTTGAACTTCTTCCATTTTCTAATAATTGCGCCAACAGTTGTTGCCTTCTCACCAAGCTGCTTGCCTATTGTCCTGTAGCCCATCCCAGCCTTGTGCAGGTCTACAATTTTACACAGCTCTCTGGTCTTGGCCATTGTGGAGAGGTTGGAGTCTGTTTGATTGAGTGTGTGGACAGGTGTCTTTTATACAGGTAACAAGTTCAAACAGGTGCAGTTAATACAGGTAATGAGTGGAGAACAGGAGGGCTTCTTAAAGAAAAGCTAACAGGTCTGTGAGAGCCGGAATTCTTACTGGTTGGTAGGTGATCAAATACTTATGTCATGCAATAAAATGCAAATTAATTACTTAAAAATCATACAATGTGATTTTCTGGATTTTTGTTTTAGATTCCGTCTCTCACAGTTGAAGTGTACCTATGATAAAAATTACAGACCTCTACATGCTTTGTAAGTAGGAAAACCTGCAAAATCGGCAGTGTATCAAATACTTGTTCTCCCCACTGTATTTGAGATTCTTCAAATAGCCACCCCTTGCCTTGATGACAACTTTGCACACTCTTGGCATTCTCTCAACCAGCTTCATGAGGTAGTCACCTGGAATTACATTAACATTTTAGTCATTTATCAGACGCTCTTATCCAGAGCGACTTACACTTAGTGAGTACATACATTTTTTCATACTGGCCCCCCGTGGGAATCGAACACACAACCCTGGCGTTGCAAGCGCCATGCTCTACCAACTGAGCTACAATTAACAGGTGTGCCTTCTTAAAAGTTAATTTGTGGAATTTATTTCCTTCTTAATGTGTTTGAGCCAATCAGTTGTGTTGTGACAAGGTAGATAGCCCTATTTGGTAAAAGACCAAGTCCATATTATGGCAAGAACAGCTCAAATAAGCAAAGAGAAACATCATTACTTTAAGACATGAAGGTCAGTCAATAAAGAACACTTCAAGAACTTTGAAAGTTTCTTCAAGTGCAGTCGCAAAAACCATCAAGCGCTATGATGAAACTGGCTCTCATGGGGACCGCACAGGAATGGAAGACCCAGAGTTACCTCTGCTGCAGAGGATAAGTTCATTAGAGTTATGACTGTAAGTCACTTTGGATAAAAGCGTCTGATAAATGGCATATTATATTATTATATTATATTATTTAGAGTTACCAGCCTCAGAAATTGAAGCCCAAATAAATGCTTCACAGAGTTCAACAGACACATCTCAACATCAACTGTTCAGAGGAGACTGTGTGAATCAGGCCTTCATGGTCGAATTGCTGCAAAGAAACCACTACTAAAGGACACTAATAAAAAGAAGAAACTTGCATGGGCCAAGAAACACGAGCAATGGACATTAGACCGGTGGAAATGTGTCCTTTGGTCTGGAGTCCAAATTGGAGATTTTTGGTTCCAACCACCGTGTCTTTGTGAACGGATGATCTCCGCATGTGTATTTCCCACAGTAAAGCATGGAAGAGGTGGTGTTATGGTGTAGGGTTCTTTGCTGGTGACACTGTCTGTGATTTATTTAGAATTCAAGGCACACTTAACCAGCATGGCTACCACAGCATTCTGCAGCGATATGCCATCCCATCTGGTTTGGGCTTAGTGGGACTATAATTTGTTTTTCAACAGGACAATGACCCAACACACCTCCAGGCTGTGTAAGCTCTATTTTACCAAGAAGGAGAGTGATGGAGTGCTGCATCAGATGACCTGGCCTCCACAATCACCCGACCTCAACCAAATTGAGATGGTTTGTGATGAGTCGGACCGCAGAGTGAAGGAAAAGCAGCCAACAAGTGCTCAGCATATGTGGGAACGCCTTCAAGACTGTTGGAAAAGCATTCCAGGTGAAGCTGGTTGAGAGAATGCCAAGAGTGTGCAAAGCTGTCATCAAGGCAAACGGTGGCTATTTGAAGAATCTCAAATATAAAATATATTTGGATTTGTTTAACACTTTTTTGGTTATTACATGATTCCATATGTGTTATTTTATAGTTGTGATGTAATCACTATTATTCTACAATGTAGAAAATAGTAAAAATAAAGAAAAACACTTAAATGAATAGGTGTTATAAAACTTTTGACCAGTAGTGTAATGCTTTCACTTGAAGACGCATGGATTGTAACTTGTATTAGCATTGTTTTTTGTGAAGAACACCGATAGTCAGAAAACACAGGGTGAAGAGAGAGAAGTTAGAGAAGAGAGAGAGGTCAAATTGACAGTTACACACAGCAAACAGAACAAAGTAAACACACAAACTATATCAGACCAGTGCATGCATTGGCAAGATTAAAACAATTCCCATGGTCGACAGACAGCACTGATAACGCAATGAATAACCTCTGACAACTTTAAGGGACTATAAGACAAAGTATTGACCATTTACCATAATGTTCCTTCAGGTTACTTCAATTCATGCAGCGCCAGAATAATTCCACCACCTCAGTAGCTAGCATGCCCTAATGAGAGAAGCGCTATTCATTGTCAGTGCTTGTGGTACATACGCAGTGGTGCGAGAGCAAAGCTAACACACGTCTACAAAGGCGACCAATGGCCTTCTTTACACTGGCATGCGCCACAGCCCCTAAGCCAATCAGAGGCCGAGCTCAAAGCAAGGTGCTGCCCAATCACTGCTAACTGTGTGACATTACAACAACAGAATCATATAGACAGGAACTAATCACTGAGGGCATGGTGGCTGAGTCTTGAAAATCTGAAAGCGATATAAATATGGAGTATTGCCAACAGAAGGAAACAAACGCTGTGATCATACATGTAGCACATCAACGGCTGTATGACGAGGAGGATGAGGAACAGAGAGCACTCCCCCTCTGGCCTGGGCGGGGCGGCCGTGGGGCGTGGGGGGGCTGAACATGGGGAATGTTCCTGTGAGAGAGAGAGAGACGGCGGATCGATTCTCCTTCCTCCAGACGACGATGTTACGGCAGGAAGTGGCAGGGTGAGAGTTCAGTGTGAAGTAGGAAGGTCGGGGCGCCGGGTCTGGATGATTTTAGGTTTGGGGCAATTCTTTGGTTCCTCCTCCTCCTCGGTGTCGCTGTCGCAGACGTGGACTACGACGCTGGGGGTGGACTCTGTTCCTGCATGCAGCTCAAACTTCTCTCCTGTAGACAGAGAGAGTGAGAGTGGGAGAGGGAGAGAAAGAGAGAGGGAGAGAGAGATGGTCAGTACAAGAAAGACATTTGAAAATGTAAAGGCATACATGACCTCAAGAGGGAGCCCTGGTTCCAAGAGAGACACTAAATCAGTGAGGTGAGGCAAACTCAACCTGGGTAATGATTTTCTCCTCATAATTGCTAAATGGTCCTGTGAGAATTGGGGGCATTTTGGTGAGCAAAAGGTTAATATACAGAAAGACTATGTAATTCTCTGGTTAGGAGGACCTGAACACAGGGAGGACTGAAGAAATTATATACTCTCTGTGTCTCTCTCTGTGTGTGTGTGTGTGTGTGTGTCCTCTCTGTGTGTGTGTGTGTGTGTCTCTCTCTCTCTCTCCTCTCTCTCTCCTCTCTCTCTCTCCCTCCTCTCCTCTCTCTCCTCTCCTCTCTCTCTCTCCTCTCTCTCTCTCCTCTCTCTCTCTCTCTCTCTCTCTCTCCCTCTCCCTCTCTCCCCCTCTCCCTCTCCCTCTCCCTCTCCCTCTCTTCTCTCGCTGGGCTTCTCAGTCAACCGCTGGGTGACGTCAATGCTGCTGCATGCTGGCGCGCTGGGTCAGAGAGGGAGGGAGAGGAGGAGAGAGAGAGAGGATATTGCCCTCCCTGGGTCCCTGATTTCCACACTTAAAAGACCTCTGGGAGTTCAACACTCTCCTTCAGAGCTTTCATACAGTATACCCTAGCTATCATCTGTCATTTAGTACGTCTCAGGGATTCTGATAATGACAACATTACAGCTGTTTATCACATAATGACATACACACACACACACACACACACACACACACACACACACACACACACACACACACACACACACACACACTAACTGAGCTCATTGTCATTCACAGCACATGCACCTGGCATTATCCCTGCTATTTCAGGCTCCGCTAATGAATGGGCTCTGTGTGTGTGTGTGTGTGTGTACGGACTGTACTGTATGCAGTAAGCTCACCATCTCTAAATCCATGGTGATGAATGCCTGTCCCGCCGCAACCCACCTGGCCAGCTCCTATCAAAGCTATTTATTAACCAGGATAAAATGGGATGGCACCTGATGGCTCGTGCCATGCGGAGCATGTGTGTGTGTGTGTGGCGGGGGTGGAAGGACAGATGGACAGCTGGACAGCGTCCTAGGCCCAGGACCACTAGCACACTGCATCTACTTTTACAGCATCTTTTCAAGCCAGGCAAAACACTCCAAATAATTCACAGCCTGAATATACAACATTCCTTAGCAACAGTCCCAAAATAAACGGGTGCAGTAGACTACAGCACAGGACTGCTGTTCTGGCACAGAGTTAACCCCATCATGGGTGAGGCAACAATTCCTTCAGGAGCGTTTGACTACTGCTGTACACACCTTTTCTATTAATATACTGTCCATTACACACCATTATATACATATATACATGTATATTTATATTCCGGACTCTGACATGGCTCGTTCTGATATTTCTTATATTTTTTTAATTTTTCTGTTTTAGGATTTGTGTATATTGTTTAGTATTGTTAGGTATTACTGCAATGTTGGAGCTAGAAACATAAGCATTTCGCTGCACCTGAGATAACATCTGCAAAATATTTGTAGGCAACCGTTAACATTTGATTTGATTTGGAATGTGTGCTGCATGCTATTCACTGACATCATCTGTTCTAGCGTGGAAACGTTTTCTGACTAGCACTGGCTATGCTGAGAGCTGGTTATTGACGAAAACTAGGCACTTATTATGACTGTGATATGTGGTTGTCCCACCTAGCTAACTTAAGGTGAATGCACTACCTGTAATTAGCTCTGGATAAGAGAGTCTGCTAAATGACTAGAATGTGAAATATAAATGTACATGTTAAAGACCTTATCTATTCTACTGTATGTTGTAAGGGCCAATACACCCAGCCATGATTTCACTGTATTACTACAGTATTACTACAGTATTACTACAGTATTACTATAGTGCTGTACCTTCTGCTCCAGACCCTGGTATGGTAATGGTACAGCGCTGCCTGCCTGCTGCCACACATCTTGGCAACCCCCTTACCCACAGATGCGCCTCAAATATTTCCTTTAATGATTTTATTTCTCAGGCTTAGTGAGAGAGCGAGTGAGAGGCTGGATCTGTGCCTTGTAAACAAGCCGGGAACAACAAAAGCATTCTCTCCTTAATGAGGCCTTGTGTTGGAGGGAGGCAGACTGATGGAGCCGCAATCACACTACACTAGACTCAGCTAGTCTCTCTGAAGGCTGGCCTGCATATGGAAACACTGCACTGGATAAAACACACATACAAATACAAACAAACACACACACGTGTCACATATCAGTTTGCAAACAATGTAAAAAAAGTATTATTGAGTTAATAAAGCCGCATACTGTCACGGATTCAGCCGAGGCTGCCCCTCCTCCTTGCTCGGGCAGGCTTCGGCATTCGTCGTCACCGGAGTACTAGCTGCTACCGATCCATGTATCTATGTTCGACTCGTTCTGTCTTTATTGGTCACACCTGTTTCCCATTATGTAGTGATGTCTTACCTATTTAACCCTCTGTCTCACACTGTGTGTTGTGTGTGTTTGTTCATGTTTCGGCTGTCGTTAGTGTGCGGGTTTGTTCCCTCCCTGTGTGGAGGTTGTAGTTCTTTATTTTACCTTTGAGTAAAGTACGTCTTCTGATTAGCTCTGTGTCCTGCGCTTGACTTTGCCTACCGCATTTCACTGACGTCCTGACACATACAAAACATGGTCTCTTTTTTTGCTTTCCAGAGTAACGCAGCTCCAAAATGCAGGTGTTTCAGCCTAGCTCAGTGCTTTCGGTGGTGGAGGGCAGCCAGCGAAAATACAGAGCGTAGGGGTTGGTAATCTTCTCTAGTTGCGCCGTGATTGGCTCAGTGTTCTGTCATTCATGGCAACACTATGTCACCGCAAAATCTACAGGGAGAGCTAGAAAGTTCAAGCCCCCTTGGCTGCTGCCATACATTTACATTACAAGTGCCCATCCAATAAGGCTCAAGGTCATTGACCACAGATAAAATAATGTAAAATCACGTTATATCTACTGTAGCTTTGATTGGACTGATCATGTCAACATTATACTTTCAAAATCGTTGCTAGCAAGCTAGACAAGCAGTCATCATCATGAATCACGTCGACAATCTACTGACAAAATCATTTTCAATCCTTGTCATATGAAGAGAAATTATAGATAAAACGTATCGGTGCTCATCGGCCATTGGACATAAACATTACACAACAAGTTGGATATCGCAAATTCAACAATGAGTGGTTTGGAAGGAATCAGTGGCTCACTGCAAGCGTTGCCAAGCAATCCCTATTTTGCTTCTGTGACGACGTGTGAAAGAAGGAGTCAGGCGCAGGAGGTAAAATATCCATTTGTTTAATCCGTTTGCATAAATCAAATGCCTCAAGCGTCAAACGAAACTGTACAAGGGAAAACATCCACCTTGACAAATAACACAGTGAAATGTAGCTCAACCGAGCTACACGCTCTCACAACAAAACAATCACTCACAAAGACAAGGGGAACAGAGGGAACACTTATACACATACTAATTAGGGGAATGAGCACCAGGTGTGTGTGATTGACAAGACATGACAAGTGGAGTGATGAGAATGGGGTCGGCAGTAGCTAGTACTCCGGTGACGACGAACGCCGAAGCCTGCCGGAACCAGGAGGGGGGGCAGCTTCCCCTGCCTGTTATTCGGTGGAGAGGGTGTGTGGTCCAATTCTGGGTTTAAGGGTCTCTTTCCCAAACTTAAAAGGATAAACATTCACATGGAACACCATGGGCCAGAAAAGGTTGAATACATTGGCCATGCTGTCAAGCCAGCATGACTTCTGCCGCGTTCAAAACAACTGGAAACTCGGAACAGGGAAATCTCAGACGGTCAGACGGTCATCCTACTCGGAATTCTAAGTTGGAAACTCGGGCCTCTTTCTAGAGCTCCGACCTGAAGATCACTGACATCATGATTCGACCTTGTTTTTTTTCCAGTTCCCAGTTGTCTTGAAAGGACCATAAATCCAGAGAATGCCAGACTTTATGACAAAATTTGCCCACTAGAAGGACCGCCGCGCCACCTTCCTGTTCAAGTGAGCACAGCACAACTGTGAGTCCAAAAATGTATTGTATGCTGCTGCATAAATGATGTAATATGCCAGGGAGATATGTATGCTGTAGCTAAGAAAGTAATACTAAGTGTATGTTGTGTAGTAAGCTGTTAGTAGCCCATGTGCCTCACCCTAATAATTTGGTCCCTTTCCCCCTCATAACTTAGCCTACTGTTCTGACTTAGTGGTGCACATGTAGCGTATAGCCTGTTTTATAGAAATGTCATCATCGAATATTGTAAGAGCTTTCATTGTCTGCTTATATGCCCCCTCTATTTATCCTACGGTTCTGACTTGGTGTACAGGGAGAACACTGTAAGAACGGCCCATGTTCTGAATTCTGTTGCTGTACATTTCAAAAGTGCTGAACAAATCATTATATTGACTACGTCTATCTTAGCTCGCTCATTAATGTCTTCACCGAAAATGAAGGATTGCCTCTTATCCGCTTGTTGTTCTCTTATGCCATAGTTTGTACATCTCAATTGTCAGCAGAAACCACATCTGCTCTTGTCCTTCTAGACCTGTCTGCTGCCTTTGATACTGTGAACCATCAGATCCTCCTCTCCACCCTCTCCGAGCTGGGCATCTCCGGCGCGGCTCACTCCTGGATTGCGTCCTACCTGACTGGTCGCTCCTACCAAGTGGCGTGGCGAGAAGCTGTCTCCGCACCACGTGCTCTCACCACTGGTGTCCCCCAGGGCTCAGTTCTAGGCCCTCTCCTATTCTCCCTATACACCAAGTCACTTGGCTCTGTCATATCCTCACATGGCCTCTCCTATCATTGCTACGCTGACGATACACAACTAATCTTCTCCTTTCCCCCTTCTGATAACCAGGTGGCGAATCGCATCTCTGCATGTCTGGCAGACATATCAGTATGGATGACGGATCACCACCTCAAGCTGAACCCTGGCAAGACGGAGCTGCTCTTCCTCCCGGGGAAGGACTGCCCGTTCCATGATCTTGCCATCACGGTTGACAACTCCGTTGTGTCCTCCTCCCAGAGTGCGAAGAGCCTTGGCGTGACCCTGGACAACACCCTGTCGTTCTCCGCTAACATCAAGGCGGTGACCCGATCCTGCAGGTTCATGCTCTACAACATTCGGAGAGTACGACCCTGCCTTACACAGGAAGCGGCACAGGTCCTAATCCAGGCACTCGCTGTTGGCTGGCCTCCCTGCCTGTGCCATTAAACCCCTACAACTCATCCAGAATGCCGCAGCCCATCTGGTGTTCAACCTTCCCAAGTTCTCTCACGTCACCCCCCTCCTCCGCACACTCCACTGGCTTCCAGTTGAAGCTCGCATCCGTTACAAGACCATGGTGCTTGCCTATGGAGCAGTGAGGGGAACGGCACCTCCGTACCTTCGGGCTCTGATCAGTCCCTACACCCAAACGAGGGCATTGCGTTCATCCACCTCTGGCCTGCTGGCTCCCCTTCCTCTGCGGAAGCATAGTTCCCGCTCAGCCCAGTCAAAACTGTTCGCTGCTCTGGCACCCCAATGGTGGAACAAGCTCCCTCACGACGCCAGGACAGCGGAGTCACTCACCACCTTCCGGAGACATTTGAAACCCCACCTCTTTAAAGAATACCTGGGATAGGATAAAGTAATCCTTCCCCCCCCCCCCCCCCCCCCCCCCCCCAAAAAAAAATAAAATAAAAATAAAAAAAAAGTGGTTATCCCACTGGCTATAGGGTGAATGCACCAATTTGTAAGTCGCTCTGGATAAGACCGTCTGCTAAATGACGTAAATGTGCCCTTGAGCAAGGCACTTAACCCTAATTGCTCCTGTAAGTCGCTCTGGATAAGAGCGTCTGCTAAATGACTAAAATGTAATGTAAAATGTATAAGCAAGACAGCCATATCAGCTATGTTTTTTAAAAAAGGCAGTAAATGAGGCTGAATGAACTGTTACGCTGCCAGACAAGGCTCCACTGATAGCCAGGTGTAGCGGTGGTAAGGATTCACTCCATGGTGCTGAAAATAATGTTGACAGTTTAAAGACAGTGTCATTAACTAAAGTCTCTATATGAAGGTTTAAATTAAAATTCCCTATTCTCTGTTAACTCCAGACTGACTGAGTCAACTCTCCCAAGAGTGCTAACCCTAAAGCTTATCCACTAATACTCTGAAGAATAAAAGCCTGCAATGCGCTCTCTCACACACACACATGCGCACGCCCGCGCACACACACGCGCACGCACGCAGACACAAATGCACACACACATACACACACTATGGAGTATGCACGTACGCATACACACAAATATACACTAATGATGTATGACAGATAGCTATAGTAAGCGCCTGTAATGTTTACAGTTTAAACGGTAGAGCTTTCAAATAAAAATGTTCTATACATACTGCACTGTACAGCATTACATCAGAGTCTAAACAGTGTTTTAAAAGTTTACATTCATATACTGCACTCTATTCTATGACATAAAAGGCATATGCCCAGGCCTTGTCATTGAAGTGCTACTTCAGTGTACCAGGAAATATTCACCACCAAGGCATCGTGATTTTTAGCCCAATCACATTTTAGTTGCTGCACTTGAAGTGTTCTAAACATTTCAGATAATAACCATTCCCACTTGCTTACAGTACATACCATTTACCCTCTACTCCATATACACTGTTTTCACACAGTCATCTTCAAGCACTACTATCCCCTGACCTTATGTCAGTCTCTGACCCCAGAATCTTTAACTACAGCCTTCTGCTCCACTTCTGACTCTAGGTCAGTGTATAAATGAAAGGCCAGTGATACGGGGGTAAAGACCAGTTTGATCCTGCTCTGCTCTGCTCCACTCCACTCCCATAATTATGCAATATCCTTTAAATGAATCACTTATGCAATCCACTCTAGTCCCTAAACAGAGGAAAGAATACAGTCACTTGAGAGACATTTCATGTGCTGTATACACTTACAGTGATGTAGTTAGCAGTGAAAGGGACTGATAGGGTTTGTGGGTTGTTTGTGGGTTGTTTGTGGGTTGTTTGTGGGTTCCACCAGATGTATCACTGGGTGCTTGTGAGGGGACCTGCATGGTTGGTTGACTAGTAAAGGAAAGTTTCAAGTGGGATATTTTTGTGCTTGTAAAAGTTAGATGCTATCCATAGTGACTTAGAGGGCAATGAGGCCACGAAGTTGCTGGTGTATGGTGTTAACCACCAGCTGTGGCTGTCCTCGGGTTTAGACCCAGCTAGAGAGAGCCCTCGGCTCCAGAGAGACGTCCCGTAGCCCAGGCTGACCCATACTGACAGGGGCTCCACTAGCAAGTACCTACACTATTAATGACTATGAATGGGAGATTTGCTTAGACCCAACTCTAACCTTCTGTAGAGTTATTATATAGTATGAAGCCAGACAATGTCCCGTACACAATGAGCCTGGTTACAGTGATGGGTAAGATCACTTTCACTATCTTGTGCAGAGAGCCTCGTGCTTCATTAGACTAGGTGAATCACTACCTACCACTATCCACTACTATCACATCATAATAGATGCACTTCATCTCAAACAGGAACTCGATAGGAATATGAAATGGTGTTCCAGTAAATATAAGAGGAAGTAAGTATACTATATGTCTATCTTGATAGATACAGGAAGATCATTCTATTCAAATACAACTGATCTTGAGGAGTCATATGAGTATGTAGGCTTACATTATGTTCTGGTTCGTGGGCCTATGCAGTCATGCAGTATAGGGATGACCCCAGCTTATCAGATCAGGGAGCGAGAGTGAGGATAGAAGGACAGAGAGAGAGGGAAGATAGACGGAGAGAGGGAAAATAGAGTGAGAGAGAGAAGAATAAAGGAAGAGAGGGAGAGAGAGAACTCTCAGCGTGATGTGTTTTGATGGGATTTGGGGAGAGAGAGAGAGAGAGCCCCAGGACAGCAACACAATTAGACTCAACCAAATCATGAGAAAACAAAAAGAGAATTACTTGACACATTGGAAAGAATTAACAAAAAAACAGAGCAAACTAGAATGCTATTTGGCCCTAAACCGAGAGTACACAGTGGCAGAATACCTGACCACTGTGACTGACCCAAAATTAAGGAAAGCTTTCACTATATACAGACTCAGTGAGCATTGCCTTGCTATTGAGAAAGGCCGCCATAGGCAGACCTGGCTCTCAAGAGAAGACAGGCTATGTGCACACTGCCCACAAAATGAGGTGGAAACTGTGCTGCACTTCCTAATCTCCTGCCAAATGTATGGCCATATTAGAGACACATATTTCCCTCAGATTACACAGACCCACAAAGAATTCGAAAACAAATCAAATTTTGATCAACTCCCATATCTATTGGGTGAAATACCACAGTCTGCCATCACAGCAGCAATATTTGTTTATTATCTATTTAACTTGCTTTGGCAATGTAAACATATGTTTCCCATGCCAATAAAGCCCCTTAAATTGAAATTGAATTGAAATTGAGAAAGAGAAGAGAGCGAAAGAGAGAGAAAGAGAAATAGAGCGAAAGAGAGAGAGAGAGAAAGAGAGAGAAAAGAGAGAGAAAAGAGAGAGAGAGAGAGAGAGAGAGAGAGAGAGAGAGAGAGAGAGAGAGAGAGAGAGAGAGAGAGAGAGAGAGAGAGAGAGAGAGAGAGAGAGAGATACAGTTCCCTAGGGGGTTGACAGCTGATTGTTAGTAATGTCAAACCCTGTTGCATAATCTAAATGTTCCTACATCTCATCCCACCACCCAGAGCCATTTTAACATCCACTGCAGCTACAAATAGAAGAGATAGGCAGACAGACAGACAGACAGACAGACAGACAGACAGACAGACAGACAGACAGAGTGCGTGACATTCAATTTCACTTTTCAAAATGGCCTCCTTCATTGACCTGAGGTAGTGTCAGTGGGGCAGAGAGAGAGAGGGGGGAGAGATAGAGCGAGAGAGAGAGAAAGAGAGAAGTTAGCGAGGACCTGCAAGTGCTCTCTCTCTCTCCCTCCCTTCATATCATTGACTGGGACTAAGGGTTTATTTATGTGGGAGTTAACAGCGCGATTGGCAGCTCAAGCAAAGTCAAGCTAAAATTAGCAGGATGGCAAGAATCTGTGAAACAGCTGTTCTGATAAGAAAATGAGGCTCTCGCCAGGAAGGCAGATGGTCTTGACTCTGGCTGTATGGAATATAATCCCTGCACATTTAGATACACACTGAGATGAAGCATTGTAAGAGTGTAGTAGCCTACCTTTCACAGTACTAAGCTTAACTACTGGACACTATGTATTCACCAAACTTGGCTTTTTGAGTAGGCCTAGGCTTACTGCTGGACAAAAAGCACTCTAGTATCAGGCATTTAGTGAGATGAAAAAAAAAGCCTGATAAAAAGATGATTGACACTCCATTTAGGTCTATTTCAAACAACAAGAAGACATAACAGCTAACTGATTTACATTTGAATCCGCTACTTGCTCGGACTAAACCTCTTACTCAAAGACAGCCATCATTATCAAGCCAGACACAATTGTGGTTGTCACTCTCTCCTGACTGACTGACTGACTGACTAAATGACATGGTGGCTGAGGTGACTCAATTCCAGAGGAGAGTTGGGGGGGTTTTAGATAGAGACTTGTTGATATTCCTCTCATAGCCGAGATGAATAAACCATTGGTGTACAGGGAGTCAGCAGTGACAGGTCGTCAATGTCTCTCACCCTCATGCATTATTCATGGTTGACATGACGACGTGCAGCGGAACCTTTGTGAAGAGAGTGGCACTGCTTTGGCGCGCGGCTCTTTCAAGTCGGCGGCAATTAAAATTTAGCGAAGTAGCACTGCCCCTCTGATGGCATGAAAAACAGAGGCAGACTGGAGCAGAAGGGAGTGAATGAGGATAGGATACATTCTGACTGGAGTGCTGTTCATTAAATCAAACGCGATGTCTCATGTCTTAAACTGGTGAGAGATGTTACAGACATGACAAGTTGCTCCATCTCAACGTCTGTCATATTTTATTGTGTTTGAAATGACTTTTAATCAATACATTTCATAGGAAACCTACTAGGTAATATTACATAGCCTGTGACAGACAGAGCTAAACATGTCCATGGATCTAAATACAGGACTCAGCATTGTTATTTTAGATGAACTCTTTGGGACTATACTATAATGTGAGACAACCTTGTGTGGAATGTCCTTCCTCAGTTTAAATGCATGTGTAAATAGCGTGTTGCCTGTAATAAACCTAGTGGACCGTATTTCCAATGGGAACAGTAGGCTACGTAATCAGACCAACAGCTGGGGAGTAGAGAGGGTGACCTGACTGACCTCCTACGAAATGGACGGTCACCTCCCGGGCGGTCATCTACTCTGTTGGACTATGTGTGTGGTCCACTACAAACACTAACTGGACTTCTGGACATGACACCGTCATAAACGCCAGAACACAACCTTCCCTATACGCTGAAGTGGAAATATACAGGAGTTGATACACTTGTTGTGATCGTAAAGAATATTGAAGGACACAAAGGGCTTTACATTGTATGGGAGTAAAACTTCCTGATGTCTCTATACTGCATCTGAAGGTCAACTGGGGTTCAGCCAGTGTGGGGATTCGTTACTTGAAAATAGTTATATATTACATTTGACTTGTTACCTTCAATCAAAGTAACGCGTTATGTTACTTGATACCTTTGTAACGCATTATCCCCAACACTGGGTTCAGCTAATAGAAATTCTCCTCTAGTCTCAGTCGTTGTTGTGAGTGTCTCTATGGTCTTGTGTTCTATACAGACGTCTGCATTACGGCTGATTATAGAACACACAGTGATTGATACCAGAGGATGTATTCTATGAATATTAATAACTTTTAAAGGTACAGGTTCTGACCGGTGTGACATGACAAAATGAATCTTTAAAACAAGAAGAATTTGACCTGATGCCCTGCTTGACCGAGGGGAGGTGCTCTAGGATGTCATATTACATGACGCATCACGTAGCACTGGATATATTTACAGAGGAAGTGAGAGATGTGAGAGAGGGAACGAGAGAGCGAGATTGACAAAGAGCTAGCAAGCAAGAGAATGAGACAATAGAAGAGTGTGTAAGAGAAAGATGAGAAAGAGAATGAGAGAGAAATGATTGAAAGAATGAAACAGAGAGAACAATAGAAAGGTGTGAGAGAAACACTGAGACTGAGAAACTGAAAACTGAAACAGAGCGGTCGCTCTGAATGAAAAACAGCATGTACTGTGTAACTAGTGGTATGACTCACCAGGGCCCAGCTTGGCCACAGCATAGAGCAGGTCGTAGTTGATGACGGGCGTGGTCTCGTCTATCTGCTGCCAGCCAATGGGCGGCGAGCCCGGAGGGGAGATGAGGAACTGTTTAGAGGGCTGGGGAGGAGCCAGGTGCAGGTTATCACCTTCTGATACTTGGTTTTGGACCTGAGGGAGGGAGGGATAGAGAGAGAGAGAGAGAGAGAGAGAGAGAGAGAGAGAGAGACCAAATATTAGTGAATGTGTTTGAATTAGATGTCTCTTAGTGATTCTCTTAAAAAAAACAAAAAAAACGCCCATAGTGGGTCAGTTAGTTCCAGACAGTCAGTTAATTCCACATTTTAGTTCCAAGGGATTCAGCCAGCCAGAGAGCTGAGGTTAAAGGACACTGACTGGGAACGATCAGTGTCTGGGTCATGGGTTCCTCTCCACTGCTCCCCAGGACCAACACTAGTCTACTGGGCTACAGACCTCACTGCTCCCCAGGACCAACACTAGTCTACTGGGCTACAGACCTCACTGCTCCCCAGGACCAACACTAGTCTACTGGGCTACAGACCCACATCATCACCATCAGGACGGTCATCTTGACTAATAGCTAATAGGTCCAGATCACATGTAGATCATCAGAGTGCTGTCTGTGTGCTCCAGCCTCCGGGCAGCACAGCACAGTGTAACATTTGGTCCTGCAGATATTATGTCATCTCTAACAGGAGTATAACTCATGGACTTAATCTCTCTCTCTCTGCCTCAGCGGAATATTTGTGACCCTGATATCCTTTGGGAGAGGAATTAGACAGGCCTACTGGCTAATGTGGAGCAATCACACGCTGCTTCTGCAAGGAGAAGGGCACTCGCACACACACACACACACACACACACACACACACACACACACACACACACACACACACACACACACACACACACACACACACACACACCCTGGAGAGACTTTCAGTGTTAGTCACACTGCATCGGTGACAAAATGTAAACATGAGACTATTTTCCATAAACCCAGTTTTCCCCTGAACTATAAACCATAACTAAAGCTAGTGTCTTAAAGATGCAGCCCGAGATCTTAAGCACTTACTAATTTGTAACACACAGTCGGATGTTTACATACACTTAGGTTGGAGTCATTAAAACTCGTTTTTCAACCACTCCACACATTTCTTGTTAACAAAGTATCGTTTTGGCAAGTCAGTTAGGACATCTACTTTGTGCATGACACAAGTAATTTTTCCAACAATTGTTTACAGACAGATTATTTCACTTATAATTCACTGTATCACAATTCCAGTGGGTCAGAAGTTTATATACACTAAGTTGACTGTGCCTTTCAACAGCTTGGAAAATTCCAGAAAATGATGTCATGGCTTTAGAAGCTTCTAAAGGCTAATTGACATCATTTGAGTCAATTGGAGGTGTACCTGTGGATGTATTTCAAGGCCTACCTTCAAACTCAGTGCCTCTTTGCTTGACATCATGGGAAAATCTAAAGAAATCAGCCAAGACCTCAGAAAATAAATTGTAGACCTCCACAAGTCTGGTTTATCCTTGGGAACAATTTCCAAACGCCTGAAGGTACCACGTTCATCTGTACACACAATAGTACGCAAGTATAAACACCATGGGACCACACAGCCGTCATACCGCTCAGGAAGGAGACGCGTTCTGTCTCCTAGAGATGTACTTTGGTGCGAAAAGTGCAAATCAATCCCAGAACAACAGCAAAGGACCTTGTGAGGATGCTGAATGAAACAGGTACAAAAGTATCTATATCCACAGTAAAACAAGTCCTATATTGACATAAAGTGAAAGGCCGCTCAGCAAGGAAGAAGCCACTGCTCCAAAACTGCCATTAAAAAGCCAGACTATGGTTCGCAACTGCACATGGGGACAAAGATCGTACTTTTTGGAGAAATGTCCTCTGGTCTGATGAAACAAAAATAGAACTGTTTGGCCATAATGACCATCGTTATGTTTGGAGGAAAAAGGGGGATGCTTGCAAGCGGAAGAACACCATCCCAACCGTGAAGCACGGGGGTGGCAGCATCATGCTGTGGGCGTGCTTTGCTGCAGGAGGGACTGGTGCACTTCACAAAATAGATGGCATCATGAGGAAAGGAAAATTATGTGGATATATTGAAGCAACATCTCAAGACATCAGTCAGGAAGTTAAAGCTTGGTCACAAATGACCCAAAGCATACTTCCAAAGTTGTGGCAAAATGGCTTAAGGACAATAAAGTCAGGGTATTGGAGTGGCCATCACAAAGCCCTGACCTCAATCCTATAGAACATTTGTGGGCAGAACTGAAAAAGCATGTGTGAGCAAGGAGGCCTACAAACCTGACTCAGTTACACCAGCTCTGTCAGGAGGAATGGGCCAAAATCCACCCAACTTATTGTGGGAAGCTTGTGGAAGGCTACCCAAAACGTTTGACCCAAGTTAAACAATTTAAAGGCAATGCTACCAAGTACTAATTGAGTGTATGTAAACTTCTGACCCACTGGGAATGTGATGAAAGAAATAAAAGCTGAAATAAATCATTCTCTCTACTATTATTCTGACATTTCACATTCATAAAATAAAGTGGTGATCCTAACTGACCAAAGACAGGACATTTTTACTAGGATTAAATGTCAGGAATTGTGATAAACTGAGTTTAAATGTATTTGGCTAAGGTGTATGTAAACTTCCGACTTCAACTGTATATAAAAATAATTGCAGGATGTAACATATCATATGAAATGGATGACGTAGTACACATTTGTGCAACATTTTCGGGGACCGGTTTTGGCTCGTTTGCACTACTTTCAAAACTACTGGCTGAAAATATACAAAAGCTCTGGAGCATCACTTTAATGTGTCCTTTCCTTCCAGAAATAAGCAACAGAACTAACATAAGGGGTAAATCAAAGTCCCAGTCTGTTGGCAGTCAGTCCTGCTTGTTGTACTGTATAGCTACTGACCTGGGCGAAGTAGAGTTTGAGCTTCTTGCCCCTGAAGGGCGTTTCGTGCAGCTCTATCCTGGCGCTGGCGGCTGCTTTGGGGTTGCTGAAGTTGATGCGGACACGCCGGAAGCTCTTGAACAGCTGAAACGTCACCCGTTCATCGTAGGCCAGGAACAGGGCCTCGAACATCTCCTGAACCAAGCCAAGAGACAAAAACAAACCAGATGAAGTTGTGCATAATATGGTTTCAGGTGGTAAATGCCAAAGCATGAATAATACAGGGAGGCTCTGAGGGAGAAAGAGACATTAAGCAGAGTCTGGGGTGAGGTTCCCTGCAGCCTCCTCCAGCACACACAGAATCCTTTCTCCAGTTAATAAGCTGTTTATCATGCACAGAGGATGCTGCAGGTCTCTCTATTGTTTTACTGGGTGTAGACAAGACTATGTTTTCTGTTGCCTAACCAATAAACCTCCCATTCATTAAACCCGGCCAGAGGAGAGATGGAGAGAGAGAGAGATAAGGAGCTGTCTGTCCTGTCCTCCTTAGTGCTGTTGGTTTCCTCTAGTCTTGATAGATCTATGTGTTCCTCAAGGTGAGGTGTCACCACAGAAAGGTCATGTTGAGTGGCACTTCACTCTGTCACTCATTCAGCCTATTTATAGATGATTTGTTATCATTAGTGCGGTTGAGCTCATTAGTGGGGGTGTGTGTGTGTGTGTCTGTGTGTGTGTGTGTGTGTGTGTGTGTGTGTGTCTGTGTGTGTGTGTGTGTGTGTGTGTGTGTGTGGGGTGTCTGTGTGTGTGTCTGTGTGTGTGTGTCTGTGTGTGTGTGTGTGTGTGTGTGTGGTGTGTGTGTGGGTGTCTGTGTGTGTGTGTGTGTGTGTGTGTGTGTGTCTGTGTGTGTGTGTGTGTGTGTGTGTGTCTGTGTTGTGTGTGTGTGTGTGTGTGTGTTGTGTGTGTGTTGTGTGTTGTGTGTGTGTGTGTGTCTGTGTGTGTGTGTGTGCTGTGTGTGGTTGTGTTTCTGTGTGTGTTTGTGTTGTCTGTGTGTGTCTGTTCTTGTGTGTGTGGTTTTGGGATCTAGCCTAGCCACTCTCTTAGCATTCATTTCCTACTGGGAGCAAGCTAATGAGGGTGTCTAATCTGAGGATCATCTCATATCCCAGACCTGCCCTGGGCTCCATAGAGCAAGGAAAGAGAGAGGACAGAGAGAGCGAGAAAGAGAGCGAGAGTAGAGAGAGAGAGAGATAGAGAGCGAGAGAGGAGATAGGAGAGATAGATCATGAGAGAGAGATAACTAGAGATAAATCTCAGTCTCATAGTCGCCGAGAGTAGATCTCAGCAACGCGATACTATCTCGTCTCTCTCTCTCCTATCCTCTCTCTCTCCTCCTCTCTCTATCTTTCTCCTCTCTCCTCTCCCTCTACCTTTCTCTCCTTCTCCCTCCCTCGCTCTCTCTCTTCTCTTTCTCTCCTCTCCTCGCGCCACTCGCTCTCTCCCCCTCAGCTACCTCCTCTCTCGCCGTGTAGGGCATCGTCTCGCTCTATTGTTTTTCGTTCAAGTTTTAGCTTATCATCTCTCTCTACTCTTCTCTCTCATCCTTTTTTCTTTCTCTCTCTCCTCTCTCTCCCTCCTCTCTCTCTCCTCCCTCTCTCCTCTCTCTCCTCCTCTCTCTCCCCCTGATTGGTTGAGGCTAGAGTGGGGGTGAAAGAGGGATTGTGGGAGACGAAAGGAAAGAAAGAGGAAGAGGTAGTCATTTCCTCAGACTAGGGGGCCACGGTCAGTTCTGGGAAGGTCTCCCACATCCTCTGGGCTCTATAGCCTGATCTCTGACACAACAACTCTGTTACTGTAGCTATGTTCTAGAGAGCTGTCTATCCTCTATGGCCCCACCTCATGACCCCAGGATGACCCCAGCAGATAGAGTTCATAGGGTATGGCCAGCGCATGGCCAGACCAGGTAATTCACAGGACAAGTGGACAATATAGATGATTGTGTCAAACACTGAATTCTATGAATTCAGATGCTAAACCGGAATGGAAATCTCCCATCTCAGTTAAGTTATATGACAGGTACTTCTCCCAAATTAGACGTTCTTCCATCATAACAAGCAGGCTTTAAATACAGCCTTAAAGAGAGAGCGTAGCAGAGTACATGGCCTATTTCCCTCCCTCCCTCTTTCCACATGGTGCTGTTCTAGCAGCTTCTAAATGAGCCACCCCATTTCATTTCTCTCTCTCTCTTGTTTAAAGACAGCCACTATATCCTCCTTTGTAGGATCAGCAATAGTGAGACTGCATTGCCAGGTTAGGGAGAGCATGTTCAAGCAATGTACATTCAATTCAATGGATAATTTGTTAGTCGGTTTATACATTCTGTGCCAAGGAAGAATGTTTGATTCAGCAGTGCTCCATCAAATAAACAATCTGACCACATAACATTGTTTACAAGATGTCTGTTAAAACTAGTCCAAACGTTTAGTTCCATGATGTCATATCTCACTCCCATCAAAACATATATTCACAACACATTGTGTAAGTCAGATACAATAGTCGTCTCTGACAAAGAGAGCGTACTGGCAGCTTGATATGTCAGAGCCGTTGACAGATGACAATATGACCTTTCTTGGTGGAGCTTGTCTGTAGAGACAGGAAGATCATTCAGACAGTCACTTTCCAATCTGGTAAATGTGTCTCAGAGCTTGTTTCATGTCAGTGTATGTGTGAGATCGGTGGCTAGTAGCAGGCTCCCGATGCGGAGTGTGTGTGTGTGTTTGTGTGTGTCCTGGCAGCTGACAGCTGGGACTGGTGTGTGTCTGCCTGGGGGGTGGAGATGAGTGGTGACAGATCAGTTCAGGTTGCTGTATTACCCCCCTCTGACAGGTGAGGGGGGTGTAGAATACAGCTCTGTCTAGTAGATGAGGCTCTGGCTCACTCCAGGTGCCTTGGATCAGCACATTTACACAAAGTTTCCCTCTGCGTTGTCGGCGTTGTGTGAATTAATGCAAAGATTGCTGCTCTGCTTAAGAAGTGTGTTCAAAGTTTCACCTTGGGAGCATGTCCTTCTGCCTTCCAATACGCCAGACCAGTAGGATGATGTTGCCCCCTAGACACTGATAAGAGGTCCCTTTTGCATTCTTCTCCCTAATGGTCTACGGTCAGGATTGGGGAGGCAAACTGATCCTAGATCTGTACCTAGAAGCAACTTCTAGCCAGAGCTAAGGCAAAAGCAGACAATGTCCCGTACAACTCATGAACATGAGACTGGGTTCCCTCTGTGTACGATAACATTCCAGCTCAGATGATTTATCTATCTCCAGTAGTCTAGAGCCTCAGACAGGCCCACACCACACAAGAGCAGGAGAGTGCTCCATCAGCAATTGAATGGAAAGCAGCAGCAGCGTTAGCAGGGCAGTATGTGGATCTGAGCTGACTTAGCATGGAACCCATCACACATTAAACCTTATCCACCAATCAATCACCCTCAGGGTCAGGTTTATGTTCTATCACTAGGGCTTTATCTTACATAGGCCTAATACCATTAAAATACCTCCTAGCCTGTTGTACTTTAGTCTGTTCCACCGAGATGGCATTGTGAGTGTATTTCGAGAATAAATGACATTCCTTTACAAACATGGACAGTGAGGTGAGGAGAGGAAAGTAGAGGGAGGGTTTTGTTGGAGCTGGAACAGAGGGGGCATTGCTTTCTAAAAATACTCCTTCTCTCCCGCCCGCCCGCTAGCCGACCGATCGATGCATTACCAAAGTACCGGTGGGCGCATACCTCCTAGTTAAGCAAATGGCTCACTCAGGCACATTAGTGGTGGAGTAATGCACGTTGTTCAGGAGAAGAGATTACTAAAAAAGGTAATTCTGAGGGAGGTAGAGATTGAGGCTGAGGCCCTGATGTGATCTGCATGGGCCTGTGTGTGTGTGTTTGGTCTGACACTGCTCATATGGGTCATGAGTGTGTGTGTGAGTGTGTGTGTGCTGTGAGCAGAGGCTAAGTAGTGAAGGCTTTCAGGACACTTGTCCCCCTAATGGTGAGTGAGAGTGAGTCCATATCAATATATCAAACATTGTGAAGGGTGTCTAAGATGAATAATGTCAGCCTAGCCTTTTGGGGGCCCTAAGCAAAAATTGTTTTGGGGGCCCACCTCTTGATGGCGGAGATAATTTGCCATGGGGCGTAGAGAAAATGTTGCTGTTTTATAGCTAATTTCCTGCAATTCTACACATTTTGCCATGGGGCTGTCATGGTTCCACCTGTCACCAGAGAGTGGCAGAGACCGCCTTAGAGACTATATTAACACAGGTGTTTTCAGTTAGTAATTATGATTTCCTTTTAGAAAGGTGTGATTTCTGTTACCCTTTGCAGAAGCTTGATTTGTTTGCTGTGTGTGTTTGTCTCCTGAGTGAGTTATCAAGTCATAGTGTTTGTTGTTTTCCCTGGTTTTACTTTGTATCTACTGTTGAACTTTTTCCTAGTAAAGTATTTACGTTTATTGGTTCCTCGTCTGGTTCTCTTCTCTACTCCTGGATCCTACCTCACCACGTCACAGCAAGCTTCTGCCCCCAACATGGACCCAGCAGAGATTGACCAGATCAAGAACGTTATAACCCACCAAGGACCCCTGCTGGGGCAGCAGCAAGAACAACTCTCCCAAATATCAGAGACTCTCCGGGCACTTACAGACTCCCTCCAACCACTGCAGACCCCCAACCCAGGAGGAGCCACTGCCCAAGTCTCAGCGCCCAGTGCTCCAGTTGTCGCCGTAGATCCCCAAGTGAACCTGCACCGGGAACCCAAGATCCCAGCCCTCGAGCGGTATGACGGCCACCCGGGAAGATGCAAGGGGTTCCTCACTTAGTGCTCTCTGGTTTTCGAGCTACAGCCCTCCTCATTCTACACCGATCAGGCCAAGATCGCCTACATCATCTCTCTACTCTTGGGCAAAACCCTGCCGTGGGCAACGGCGGTTTGGGAACAGCAGCCACTATCCTGCAGCTCCATATCAGCCTTTACTTCAGAGTTGTGATGAGTCTTTGACCACCCAGTCAGCGGACGAGAAGCGTTGATCCGGCTTTTCAACCTCCGCCAAGGGGCCAGACAAGTGGCCGACTTTGCCATTGATTTCCACATCCTCACCGCCAAAAGTGGGTGGAATACAGAGGCACTGGTCACCGCCTTTCACCAGGGTCTGTCTAACTCTATCAAGGATGAACTGGCCTCTCGGGACCTGGGAGAGGACCTCAAGTCCCTGATAACGCTGGAAATCAAGATCAAAAACTGCATCCGAGAACGAGTGAGACAGCGCCCCTTTGACACCACCCCAGTATCCCAGCTTCCCGAGTACCCCAAGCCCCCCGAGCCAAGCACTAAGAAGCCCATGCAGCTGGGACGCACACGTCTGAGCCCACAGGAACGCGATAGGTGCATGCGCAAAGGCTGCTGCCTCTACTGTGGAGGTCTCGGCCATCTCCGTTCTACATGTCCAGAGCTGACGGGAAACGCTGGGGCTCTGACGAGCTGCGCAGTGACTCCCAGGCTACCCAGTCACCATCTGTCACTACCCGCGACACACCACTGGGACAACCAAATTCAAGCCTTTGTGGACTCCGGGGCCGCGGATAATTTCATAGATCAGGACCTCACCAGATAATTACAAACCCCTGCGTGAAATGCCCCATCCCTCTGCAGATTCAAGCCCTTGATGGATGCCCCATCGGCTTTGGCCAGGTGGAATATCAGACCAAGCCCATTCAACTGCAGGTCGGGGTGAACCACCCAGAGACTCTTAGCTTTCTTTTGATCACTGCTCCCGAGAACCCCCTTATCCTAGGGTACCCCTGGTTAGCGCAACATAACCCACTATTCTCCTGGTCCACGGGACATCTACTAAACTGGGGAAATAACTCCAAGAGCCTCGCCGCGCCCCCCTGCATCCACTGAAGCCCAAGACTTCTCTGCTCTCCCTCCCGAATACTTCGACCTCCGAGAAGACTTCAGTAAGAGGCAAGCCGCCACCCTCCCTCCTCATTGTCCATACGACTGTGCTCCTACCCGGCTCCACCCCTCCCCGGGGCCGTCTTTACTCCCTCTCGGCCCCCCTTAGTAGCAGCCATGGACGACTACATCCGGGAGTCGCTGGCGGCAGGCTTAATTTGTTCCTCAACTTCCCCAGCCTGCGCAAGCTTCTTCTTCGTGGGAAAGAAGGATGGGGGTCTGCGTCCCTGCATCGATTACCAAGGGTTGAACAGGATTACGATTAAGAATTGTTACCCCCTACCCCTGATGTCCTCTGCCTTGGAGCTGGCCCAAGGGGCCCGATTCTTCACCAAACTGGACCGCTTACAATCTGGTGAGAATCAGGGAGGGAGATGAATGGAAAACTGCATTTAACACCCCTAGTGGCCACTATGAATATTTAGTCATGCCATTCGGATTATCGAACTCACCAGCAGTCTTCCAAGCATTGGTCATTGACACTCTTAGGGACACGTTGAATCGTTTCGTCTTTGTTAACCTTGATGACATCCTGATCTTCTCCAAGACCCTTCCAGAACACATCCTGCACGTCCGCCAAGTCCTGAGACGCCTCCTGCAGAGTCAGCTATACATCAAAATAGAGAAGTGTGAGTTCCATGTTTCCCAAGTCTCCTTCCTGGGCCACATTATCTCAGACCCGTTTTTGCTGGACCCCTGAGGCTGACAGGGCATTCGGGGAGTTCAAGGTACGTTTCACCTCCGGACCCAACCTCGCTCATCCTGACCCTGCTCGTCCCCTCATGGTAGAGGTGGACGCCTTGGATACTGGAGCAGGGGCGGTCCTTTCACAGCAGAATGAGGGGGACAAGAAACTGCCCCACGTGCCTTTTTCTCCAAGCGGTTCTCGCCAGCGGAACGCAACTACGATGTAGGCAACCGGGAGCTCTTGGCAGTTAAGTGGGCCCTTGAGGAGTGGAGACACTGGTTGTAGGGGGCACCTCATCCCTTCGTGATCTGGACGGACCACAAGAACCTGGTCTCCATCCAAGAAGCCAAGAGGTTGAACGCTCGCCAGGCTAGGTGGGCTCTGTTTTTTAACAGATTCAACTTCGCACAAGCCACATTGTGGCCCCCGTGGTATGGAGTATTGAGACCACGGTCCGACAATCCCAGACCCGAGAACCTGACCCCAGCGGGGGTCCCACTAACAGACTTTATGTTCCATGCTCAGCCCATTCTCGAGTACTACAATGGGGACACTCCTCTAAATTAATTGGGCATCCAGGGGAAATTCTGGTGGAACAACATGATTGAGGCTGTGCGATCCTTCGTTACGGCCTGCTCCACCTGTGTCCAAAGCAAGTCCTCATGACAGCGACCGGCTGGGTTGCTCCAACCTCTGTCCATCCCCAATCAGCCCTGCTCCCACCTGTCCCTAGACTTCATCATTGGATTACCACTATCCTGGTGGTCGTCGATCGCTTCTCCAAGGCAGCCCATTTCATCGCCCTACCCAAGTTGCCCTCGGCCAAGGAGACAGCCGACTTCATGATTAACCATGTCTTTCGACTACACGGACTCTCCCAGGTCATTGTCTCGGACCGTGGCCCCCAGCTCGTCACGCAGTATTGGAAAGCCTTCTGCTCCCTGTTGGGGGCATCGGTGAGTCTCTCCACTGGGTTCTACCCACAGTCGAATGGGCAGACTGAGCAGGTCAACCAGGAGCTGGAGATGTTCCTCCTCTTTGTCTCGACTCAGGCCACCAACTGGAGCAAGTTCCTCTTCTGGGCCGAATATGCTCACAACACACTGCCGAACTCGTCCACTGGACTGTCTCCATTCGAGTGTCAGTTCGGGTTCGCACACTTAACCAGCATGGCTACCACAGCATTCTGCAGCGATACGCCATCTCATCTGGTTTGGGCTTAATGGGACTATCATTTGTTTTTCAACAGGACAATGACCCAACACACCTCCAGGCTGTGTAAGGGCTATTTTACCAAGAAGGAGAGTGATGGAGTGCTGCATCAGATGACCTGGCCTCCACAATTGAGATGGTTTGGGATGAGTCGGACCGCAGAGTGAAGGAAAAGCAGCCAACAAGTGCTCAGAATATGTGGGAACTCCTTGAAGACTGTTGGAAATGCATTCCAGGTGAAGCTGGTTGAGAGAATGCCAAGAGTGTGCAAAGCTGTCATCAAGGCAAAGGGTGGCTAGTTGAAGAATGTGAAATATAAAATATATTTTGATTTGTTTAACACTTTTCTGGTTACTACATGATTCCATATGTGTTATATTATAGTTTTGATGTCTTCACTATTATTCTACTGTCACGTTCGTTGAATGACGGGACAGACCAAGGCGCAGCGTGATATACGTACATGACTATTAACGTAATAAACACTTGACAAAACAATAAACGAAACGAAACGTGAAGTCCAAGGTAGCACACACAACATACCTTACAAGGAACAAGATCCCACAACTCAATAGTGCCAATAGGCTGCCTAAGTATGGTCCCCAATCAGAGACAACGAGCGACAGCTGCCTCTGATTGGGAACCACACCGGCCAACATAGAACTAAACATACTAGATCCCACATAGAAAATACTACATAACAAAGAATATACACACCCTGACTCAACATATACGAGTCCCCTGAGTCAGGGCGTGACATCTACAATGTAGAAAATAGTAAAAAATTAAGAAAAATCCTTGAATAATTAGGTGTTCTAAAACTTTTGACCGGTAGTGTATATATTTTTTATAAAATTGGGGGGGGCCTAGTGTCCGCAGGGCCCTAAGCAGTCGCTTATGTCGCTTATGCCTAGGGCCGGCCCTGATGTCAGGAAAGTGATTGGGAAAGAGGGTGTTAGATTATACGGCAGGAAGGACATGGCATAGGGCTGATGTTAGAGTGGATGAGCAGGAGGGACAGGATGGGAGTGAGTGAGGCCCATTACTTGTCTGGAGCAGCTTCCAGAGGCATATCTAGGTGATGATGCACCACAGCTGCTCTTATCCAAGGCAATAGAAAAGACATTGAGGAAATGGCAATGACATCGCAGAAACATTACTGTAGTAGTTCAACATCACACATTTTCTCCTCCAGTGATAGTGAAGACTGGCATTAGCCTGAGGCATATTGTATTTCACATTGACTGACTGTTACCGTATTTCAAAGCAGTTACTGACTGTTACCATATTTCAAAGCAGTTACTGACTGTTACCGTATTTCAAAGCAGTTACTGGCTGTTACCATATTAGAAAGCAGTTACTGACTGTTACCGTATTTCAAAGCAAAGTCCCTAAATACTGAGACATTACCGTAGAATGTATTAGACATTCTCTACCGTAGTGTGATGTGTCATATTACTTTAAGAGTAGGGAAAATGAATGCATATGACTCATACAACCTCTAGAAACACCACAGAATCCCATAATATCATAGTTATATACATTCTGACTGCAGAATGATAAAGATATGCACACAAACACACACAGTGAAGCAGATTATTCATGACTATATTTCCCCCTGCAAAGCTATTTATAGTCGGTATATCACATTGGGAACATGACACAGGGTTGACTTATTGGCAAGACAGGGGATCTGAATACTTTCCACTACAGAGGACAATGATCTGTCTGAAGGTTAAACAATTATCTAATGTTCTGACGTAGGACCATCCAAACTTAGTCCATGGACAGAGGAAAGGAGGGAATTGAGCTGATCTTGCAAACTGCTTTGTGTATCAGAACTGATTTGTTGGAAAGTGATGGTGCTCATATGGGGGTTATACATTTAGATACGGTGATGTGAATGGGTGACAGAACAAGGTAAAAAGAAACCTACTGCTACACACAAAGTTCCCAATCGAGTGAAGCCTGGTAACAGCACGAGGTGCCATTTTGCTAACTGTTGCTATGGGGTTATGCAACATCAAAATATTTCAATCTAGCACAGTGAAGAATAACACTCTACATAAACAAAGACGACCCAGAAAAATTACGCTGTATGAAAAAGACCAGTCCACTGAAACTCATTAAAGGCCCAGTGCAGTCAAAAATGTGATTTTCCTGTGTTTTATATATTTCCACACTATGAAGTTGTAATAATTGTGAAATTGTGACAATGATGATAATGCCTTTTAGTGGAAGAGCGGTTTGAAAAGATCACATGAAATTTCAGCTTGTTTTGGAGGGATGGAGTCTTGGCCTGCCTGGTGACATCATCAGGCAGTATATTAGTTAATAGACCAACGAGAACGAGAGTTCCAAACCACTCTGCCAACAGCTAGTTTTCAGTTTTCCCCTCCCCACTCAGACCACTCCCAGGCAGTCCTAGCAAAATTATTGCTTGAGAAATTGCTCTTTGCTAAGAAGCTATTTTGGTTTATTTTTTACCATTTTAATTGAAAACTAGAGGATAATTCCTGGCCTAAAGTAAAGCACACAGCAGAAGTATGCTGGGAATTTAGAGCAGCTTCTAGTGTTTCAGCGTTCCAACTGTATTGTGTTGTGCTCTCTCTGCACTCAGAATGTTAATCAGAAACAGCCTGTGTTCTGTTCCTACATTGTTTTCACTGGAGATTCCAGATAGTATGTTCCAGAACACTCACACAGCATTCCCAACCAGGAGGTACTGACTGACTAGGTACAACATGCCACTACAGAGGACAGACAGGAATGACTAGGACATGGCTGATCCATCTTAACTGACCTTCCAAGTGACCTGAGGCTTTAGCTGGGCCAGACTGACATATTGTAGATTGCATATGAGGACTTGAGCACACAGTGTGATGCATACTCAATCTTGCTAGTGATGCATAAAGTATGCATCACTGATAGTACAGTAGAGACGAAGTGTACACAATGACAGCTGCTTTCTTTGGTCTAGTCAAGTGAGAGAAGAGGGTGACAAGATTAAGTACCCTTTGCGTTTCTCTTTGGGGAGACAGTGAGGAGATCTGGCATGAGAAAGTGGGTAACATTGTGTTCCCAAAGACTCGCCCTAGCTCCTTTTAGGCTCAGGACCAAGAGGAACACACAAAGAATATGTCTTCTGACAGAGAGCAAGCAGCACTTTCCCTGGAGGAGAAAGTCTTGGTCACCACTAGGACCTGTTTATGGCACCATCTCACACCTCAGATGAGTCTCAACAGAGGCCCAGGAGGCATGGTCTTGTGTAAGAACACATCTCTTCCATCAACACAAAATAGATTTTGTATAACTAGGACCATGAGTGATTTTGAACATCTGACCAGGAAAAACAAGGCCCTAGTTATAGGCCATACTGCAACTAAGACCTAGAATTTTCCCAGTTCAAGTCACATGTTCAGGAAAAACATATGAAGGAGTTGATGATGACGCAACTGTGTAATGTGTACGCTATGATGCAGAACTGTCAGCACCTAGGTCTACTGCTCACACCATGATGATGTGACCAACACAATAATTCCAAAAGAAAGTGAGGCCATGGTGTAAGTATCCATTCAAATAGGTCTCCAGCACTTTATAGTGGTTTAGTAACAGACCACCAAGCCTTATGTGGCGTGATTCCCGTGCTGGATCAGCTGAGGAAATTCTTTGTGGGTTATGATGATTATTTGGGTTGAGATTGAAAGTGAAAGTGAACCCTCCTGGGAACGAGTTGAGGAGACCATACCGTGGCAGTGGTTATGGCAACACGGTAAACACAGGGACCAAACACTGGTTGTCAACTTACTATAGTGTGTTTAAGAGACTCATACCGATTACACAATAGAACACATCCATCATGTAGAGCTATGGAGGCGATCAGGATTACTCTGCTACATATACAACCTGAGAAGAAATGTCACTTCCCATGAAGCAGAAATTAGAGCTTTTAAATGTACTGCAGATTGGTGGAAAAAGAGGTCTCAGATTCGGAATAAAAAACGAGTCTACAATAATGTCCCCAAAGAACAGAGACAAGCATTGGATGAATAAAAAAAATCACTCCACTCTGATAGTGTGTAATGCTGATAAGGGCGGGCCTGTGGTGTTGGTAAACCGTGATGATTATGTGAATGAGATCCGGGGACAATTGAACAACACCACTTTCTATCAGAAACTGTCACGTGACACACACCTGTTCAAATATGAGATTCACTGCAAGTTGAAGTCTCTTGATGAAAGTGGAGACATTACGCAAAAATAATATGAGTTCATGAAAGTAGACAATCCAATCACAAGCGTTATCCATGCCTTACCAAAAATTCACAAATTATTGGATAAGCCACCAGGGAGATCTACTGTGGCCTCCATTGGCTCATTGACTGAAAAGATTCTGCTTTGTAGATTTCTTTCTAAAACCCAGTGTGGTGTCACCCCTGCATATGTACGCTATTCTATGGACATGATTAACACCCTTAAGACATTGGACAATATTGATGGGGAGATGATTATGGCTTGCTTAGATGTTGAATCCCTGTAAACAAACATCCCCCGCCCGGTAGGCCTAGAAGCTATGGCACACTATCTTAGTCAACGACCCACTGGTACACTCCCTAGCACTAACTGTATTGTATTTTAGCCGTACTATACTCTATTGGGGCAGCAGGTAGCCTAGCGGTTAAGAGCACTGGGCCAGTAACCAAAAGGTCGCTGGTTCGAATCCCAGAGCCTACTACGTGAAAAATCAGTCACTCTGGATAAGAGCATCTGTAAAATGTATTTTTCAACTTGCTGAGATTATTCTGACTAAGAACTTTTCATGTTTGAAAATGACATGCTCATTCAACAGAAAGAAACTGCGGTAACACTTTACTTGACACCCAGCGTCATAACATAACCATGTCATAATATGTCATAACAGCGGACATAACTTGCCATAACCTGTCATAATATGGTCATGACACATATATTTAGACCTGTTGTGACATATATTGCATTATTTTAAGGCTGGTTATGACACCTACATACAGTAAGAGTGTCAAAACCCACAAAACCTACCAGGTAGTTATTTTATGGCTGGTTATGACACCTACATAAGAGTGTCAAAACCCACAAAACCTACCACATACAGTGGGGGAAAAAAAGTATTTAGTCAGCCACCAATTGTGCAAGTTCTCCCACTTAAACAGATGAGAGAGGCCTGTAATTTTCATCATAGGTACACGTCAACTATGACAGACAAAATGAGGAAAACAAATCCAGAAAATCACATTGTAGGATTTTTAATGAATTTATTTGCAAATTATGGTGGAAAATAAGTATTTGGTCACCTACAAACAAGCAAGATTTCTGGCTCTCACAGACCTGTAACTTCTTCTTTAAGAGGCTCCTCTGTCCTCCACTCGTTACCTGTATTAATGGCACCTGTTTGAACTTGTTATCAGTATAAAAGACACCTGTCCACAACCTCAAACAGTCACACTCCAAACTCCACTATGGCCAAGACCAAAGAGCTGTCAAAGGACACCAGAAACAAAATTGTAGACCTGCACCAGGCTGGGAAGACTGAATCTGCAATAGCTAAGCAGCTTGGTTTGAAGAAATCAACTGTGGGAGCAATTATTAGGAAATGGAAGACATACAAGACCACTGATAATCTCCCTCGATCTGGGGCTCCACGCAAGATCTCACCCCGTGGGGTCAAAATGATCACAAGAAAAATCCCAGAACCACACGGGGGGACCTAGTGAATGACCTGCAGAGAGATGGGACCAAAGTAACAAAGCCTACCATCAGTAACACACTACGCCGCCAGGGACTCAAATCCTGCAGTGCCAGACGTGTCCCCCTGCTTAAGCCAGTACATGTCCAGGCCCGTCTGAAGTTTGCTAGAGTGCATTTGGATGATCCAGAAGAAGATTGGGAGAATGTCATATGGTCAGATGAAACCAAAATATAACTTTTTGGTAAAAACTCAACTCGTCGAATGCTGAGTTGCATCCAAAGAACACCATACCTACTGTGAAGCATGGGGGTGGAAACATCATGCTTTGGGGCTGTTTTTCTGCAAAGGGACCAGGACGACTGATCCGTGTAAAGGAAAGAATGAATGGGGCCATGTATCGTGAGATTTTGAGTGAAAACCTCCTTCCATCAGCAAGGGCATTGAAAATGAAACGTGGCTGGGTCTTTCAGCATGACAATGATCCCAAACACACCGCCCGGGCAACGAAGGATTGGCTTCGTAAGAAGCATTTCAAGGTCCTGGAGTGGCCTAGCCAGTCTCCAGATCTCAACCCCATAGAAAATCTTTGGAGGGAGTTGAAAGTCTGTGTTGCCCAGCGACAGCCCCAAAACATCACTGCTCTAGAGGAGATCTGCATGGAGGAATGGGCCAAAATACCAGCAACAGTGTGTGAAAACCTTGTGAAGACTTACAGAAAACGTTTGACCTGTGTCATTGCCAACAAAGGGTATATAACAAAGTATTGAGAAACTTTTGTTATTGACCAAATACTTATTTTCCACCATAATTTGCAAATAAATTCATTAAAAATCCTACAATGTGATTTTCTGGATTTGTTTTCCTCATTTTGTCTGTCATAGTTGACGTGTACCTATGATGAAAATTACAGGCCTCTCTCATCTTTTTAAGTGGGAGAACTTGCACAATTGGTGGCTGACTAAATACTTTTTTTCCCCACTGTAAGGCAAAACCTTCCATTACACCATAGCCTACTTGTCAACAGTATGTTTATGTTATATAACATTTTCTGTAATTGCACACAAATTGATGTCAGACATGCACCTACCCCAATGCTCTGTTGCTGATGACTGGGATGAATGCAGGAGCAGATTTCAGGAGCAGGACAAGACACCCTCTTTTTGACTGATGACTGACATAAGGGCATGTATGTGATAGGCCTATCTGGCTTATATGATTATGATGGTCATAATGCTTCTTGACAGTGTCATAAAGTGTATTTTCTTAGTCCAAGTAAAGTGACACAAGATGGTCATAATGCTTCATGACAGTGTCATAAAGTGTATTTTCTGCAAGGTAAAATATGCTGAGAAAAATACATGACTGTAAAGAGTTCATTACAACAACAACAACAACAACAACAACAAAGGACTTAAGAAACAAACTTTCAAATTAAAGGAAACTTCTTGGCAGGGACATTTTTTATTAAATGTGGGGTTTGACACTCTTATGTAGGTGTCATAACCAGCCATAAAATAATGCAATAATGTCACAACAGGTGTAAATATATGGGTCATGACAGTGTTACGACCATATTATGACAGGTTATGACAAGTTATGTCAGCTGTTATGACATTTTATGACATGGTTATGACCGTGTCATAACATGTTATGACGCTGGGTTTACCAAAACCGCTATGGTTAGTAAAATTATACAAAATTATACTAATCTGTATGTGGGGTTGTTTGAGAATAATTTCAGCCCTAACAATCCATTATTGCGCTATCTCAAGCTCTGGAAACGCTTCATTGATGACATATTCCTTCTATTCCAGGGCACAGCAGAGGAACTTAATCAATTCCGCTCCTTCATCAATGCAAGCAGTGAACATCTGAAATTCACGCTCACCTTTGATGCGCATGAAACAAGTTTTCTGGACATTTTAATAAAGAGTGGGGTGGCTTTAGCACGGACCTATACAGGAAGCCGACCGACAGGAATTCCCTGTTACGCGGAGATAGCTTCCACCCTACACCCCTGGAAGCCAATACAGTCGCATACGCAGGATCTGTAGTACACAGTGACTATGACAAACACTGTCTGGATGAATGCTTTAGATAACAGGGTTACCCAGAGGATTGGCTGCATGACAGACAGGACTGTTACAAAGATATGACCCAGGATGACATCCTCACTCCCAAACCACCACACCCCCCTGACCAACTAGTCCAATGCTGTCTTCAATCCTGCCTACTTGGAAAATACAGTAGTTCGACCACATCATTAAGAAAACACTGGCACATCTTGAGCACTGACCCACAACTGGAAAATACGTTTAAAGAACCCCTGTGGGTAGTCTTCAGATGCACCCCCAACATCAGTCAAAGGGTGGTGAGGTTTGATCTTCCACCGGTGCCACGTAGCACCTTCCTAGACAATGGGCCAGACGGTAATTACAGATGTTGCCGATGCACCCAGTGTAACTTTACGAAGAAAGCACAACGTTCAATCACCCCATCACGGGCAAGGTCATTAAGACAAAAAAAATGTGGTATACCTGATCAAGTGTATTAAGTGGTTTATGCTATGTAGGAAAAACTAAACAAGCTCTGAAAACAAGGATAGCAGATCACAGGAGTAATATAAGGACTCTTGACCTGAGAAACCCTGTAGCTGCCCACTTCATGGAGGCTCGTCACAACATCAGCTCTCTGAAAGACATTGGTATCGAATATGTTTAGCCTCCTAAGAGAGGGGGGGATACTGATAATCTATTACTGAGAAGACAATTGTATTGGATTCACCGTTTGTCCACCATGTCTCCTAAAGGTCTGAACCAAGAGTTTGATATCAGACCATTTCTTACATGATTATGTTATGTTGATTTGTCTTGCCATCCAGGTCTTCACTTGGTCATTTTGCACATATGTATACAATAGATTTTCTATAACTTTCTATACCTGTGCCCATCTCATTGATATCAAATTATTAGGAGGTACACAAGCTGTTTTTTGAAATAGGTCACTGTAATCATATCTATGCGTAATGGTCATATGGGCGGTTATTCCAACAGTTTCCAACGTAATCTTTTTAAACTGTTGCCTAGGTTTTAAAATTGGGCCGATTTGTATGTATATAATCCTTTATGACCATACGTACCTCTGTCATTAATTATGATTGACGGTGCGCAAAAGTGAATTTAATTGTTTCCACACCCACCATGCGTCATGTGAGTAATGGTCATGTGAGGTGAAATGTGTATATTTTGGAATGTGAGCACTCAGTCTGTTTGACCTGACGAAGATCTGGTTGGGATGGAAACGTTGTCAATAAAGAGGTGAATTGGGAACATAAACAGCCTTCCTGTTCTTTACAAAGCTTTTAAAAACCACCAAGCAATAGGGCCATCACACCACCAAGCAATAGGGCCATCACAATTCTCAGTCTTACACACAAAACAACACACACACAAAGACAACACACACACCCACCACAACACCACACACCACACCACACAACCACCACACACACACACACACACACACACACACAGGTAAGAGCAGTGGTATCACAGAACAGCCTGTTGGTGTGGGCATCTAATGGCTTTAAGTGCCCTTAGATAATAGAGAGCTACATTTTACATTTACATTTTAGTCATTTAGCAGACGCTCTTATCCAGAGCGACTTACAGGAGCAATTAGGGTTAAGTGCCTTGCTCAAGGGCACATTTACGTCATTTAGCAGACGCTCTAGTCCAGAGCGACTCACAAATTGATGCATTCACCCTATAGCCAGTGGGATAACCACTTTACAATTTTTTTTTTTTGGGGGGGGGGGGGGGGGGGGGTAGAAGGATTACTTTATCCTATCCCAGGTATTCCTTAAAGAGGTGGGGGTTTCAAATGTCTCCGGAAGGTGGTGAGCGACTCCGCTGTGTGTGTGGGGGGGGGGGGGGGGTAGAAGGATTACTTTATCCTATCCCAGGTATTCCTTAAAGAGGTGGGGTTTTCAAATGTCTCCGGAAGGTGGTGAGTGACTCCGCTGTGGGGTGGGGTGGGGGGGGGGGGTAGAAGGATTACTTTATCCTATCCCAGGTATTCCTTAAAGAGGTGGGGTTTCAAAATGTCTCCGGAAGGTGGTGAGCGACTCCGCTGTGTGTGGGGGGGGGGTGGGGGGTAGAAGGATTACTTTATCCTATCCCAGGTATTCCTTAAAGAGGTGGGGTTTCAAATGTCTCCGGAAGGTGGTGAGTGACTCCGCTGTGGGGTGGGGTGGGGTGGGGGGGGGGGGGGGGTGGGTAGAAGGATTACTTTATCCTATCCCAGGTATTCCTTAACGAGGTGGGGTTTCACATGTCTCCGGAAGGTGGTGAGTGACCTCCGCTTGTGGGTGGGGGGTGGGGGGTGGGGGGGGGGGGGGGGGGGGGGGGGGGGGGTAGAAGGATTTACTTTTTTTCCTATCCCAGGTATTCCTTTAAAGAGGTGGGGTTTCAAGTGTCTACAGGAAGGTGCGTGAGCGACTCCGCTGTGTGTGTGTGGGGGGGGGGGTAGAAGGATTACTTTATCCTTATCCCAGGTTATTTCCTTAAAGAGGTGGGGTTTCAAATGTCTCCGGAAAGGTGGTTGAGTGACTCGCTGTGGGGTGGGGTGGGGGGGGGGGGGTAAGTATTACTTTTATCCTATCCCAGGTATTCCTTAAAGACGGTGGGGTTTTCAAATGTCTACGGACGGTGGTGAGCGGACTCCGCTGTGTGTGTGGGGGGGGGGGGGGGGGGGTAGAAGGATTACTTTATCCTATCCAAGGTATTCCTTAAAGAGGTGGGGTTTCAAATGTCTCCGGAAGGTGGTGAGGGACTCCGCTGTGGGGTGGGGTGGGGTGGGGGGGGGGGGGGGGGTGGTCGAAGGATTACTTTATCCTATCCCAGGTATTCCTTAAAGAGGTGGGGTTTCAAATAGCTAAAAGGTGAACAGTGAACATCCTCATAATTACCATCTGGTGTTCGTAGCAGTCAAGCCATTAAAACCAAATGTCAAGATGGAGGGGCCCATTCTGAAATCTATTAAACTGTGTTCCAGTTTATGTGCTCCAATTATGGAAATAAATATCCTATTGAAGCAAAGTACTCCGGATGAGAGTAAAAGGAGAGGGTGAAACGAGAGGGGATGGTGGTTTGGTGGGGTTACAGCTATCACGGACAGATAGTGGGAGAGATGTGCGAAGGCAAAATAACATTGCTCTCTACTGTGTTTGCTAGCAGTGTTATAGTTAATTACAACTGTGATTCAGAGAACACTAGCTCTACACTACATATTTTATCATTGTACAACAAGACTAATGACAACTGGTGGAGCTAAGTGGCTCTTTGGGGTACTTGTGTTGACAGCATCACATTTGAGGGTTTGGGGGAGGAAGGGGTGACGCAAAAGCTCACTCAAGGTCAAATGCATATCAGAAAAACAAAGAGACGGAGAGAGAAAATCATTTGTTTTTGTGTAGCAAGCCTTGGGATAGGCCAAGCAGCAGCCCTGGTTTATAAACATCCAGTCTCTCTGACGACTACGAGTACAGCCCAGTAAAGCATGAAATTACCACTGAGTGTTACATTCAGAGGACACACACAGACACCGACACACACACACACACACACACATCCCCATGCATTGTTATAGTGAAGCCCACCCCCACTAATGATAACAAAGCATCTATAAATAGGCTGAGTGAGTGACAGAGGGAAGTGCCACTCAACATGACCTTTCTGTGGTGACACCTCACCTTGAAGAACACATAGATCTATCAAGACTAGAGGAAACCAACAGCACTAAGGAGGACAGGACAGACAGCTCCTTATCAGTATGAGAAACACTCACACTGAAGCACTATCAAATAGGAACACAACAGCTCTGCACTGGAATAGCATTACAAGATAAAATGGGTCTGTATTAGAGGAAGGAACAAAAGTGATCCAAGGTGTTGTGTTTTTCCCACAGCCTGTGGGTATTTAAGTAATTACAGTGGTACGATACCAAAGCCAAGCGGCATGTTTACTGTTCACTGTTCACTGACTGGCATTAATTAACAAAGGGAGGAGAGGAGAGGGGAAAGGGAACGGGAGAGAAAGGGAGAGGAGCGAAAGGGAGAGGAGAACATCCCAACACTAAACCAGAGTCACCTTTCACAGATGAACGTCAACTTTAACAACACAGGCTTTAACCACATACAGACAGACATGTAGTAGAAGATGGATTAGCCAGAGACTAAAAGAAACAGCAACCAGAATACAGTGTTTGTACTGTTCTCTCTTCCTTTTAGGAGAACAAAATGGTCATTCATCTTAAACGCATCCAGACTCTCAGATTGTTCTTTTTATGTTGAACCTTGACCTCCAGCCAAACATAACTCCTGGGTTGTGTAACCTCTGGTGTCAGGAATTGTTATGTTAAAACCAGGACAGGAAATCTCACATAGCAGGCTTGTAGGGGAGGGAGGATTGTTGATAACATCCCCCATCCATCCAGTCATGTGATTTTCCATCTTAGAGGAGAAATTTAACAAGTAGCCCATAAGAGCTGGAATGGACAGGTTTCTTAAAAAGGAGAAAGGAACAGAGAGAAAGTGGCTCAAATATAGAAGGTAGGAATGTTACTATTAAGAGAAAGTGTATCTCAGGTCTTCATCACCCATAACCTGGCACAGACATTGCATTTATTTCTATCACATTGTACTGAGCAGTGGTTCGATAAAAGCCACATCTCTCTACATAAAGCCTGACCAATCAAAATGTCCTGTAATAATGACCAGAATGAGAGTTAATTAAACACCCAACTAAACAGAGAATCCAGTTATAGAGTGTACTAGGGCTGACCACATTTAGTCGACTGGTCAATTGTTTGGTCGATAGGCTGTTGGTCGACCAAGATTTCTTTAGTCGAGCAGTAGTAAAGAAAAATCAAAATAATTAATGGTGTACAAGACAACTGTCTGAATCGCGCCTGTCTGAGTGGACTGATCCATTGTGGAGGCCGTGGGGATGGCACAGTCCATCACTCTAAGACATGTGCTACTGAAATTGTATATGGTTACAATGATGCAACACTAATAAAAATAATATTATTTTATAACAAATGTTCTTTCATCCGCGGTTCTGAAACACATCAGTGAGCTGTTGAATTAGCGCCTTTTCCTAGACCATGTTGCTATGTGCATAATAGCAAAGTTAACCAGCATATTAGTGTGAGAACAATGTGGTGGGGGCAGCAGCAGAGTTAGGATACGAGAGAACAGCCCTTGCCTTAATTGGCTAAAAAAGTGAGGAGAGAGGAAACCCCAACTTAATTAGGTCTATAATCAATAGCCTAACTGTTAAATGTGCCTGGCTTTATAAATCATCCATATATATCTACAGAAATAAGACAGATCCTGCTTCTGCTGCCTGTTTGAGTGTTTGTTTAATAGCCTACTGATTCCGTGAGCACCAAGTCTCATGCAAACACAACATGTCGGATAAACAATTCTGCTGTTTTTAATCTTTGATATGCTGTAATAAAGGCTTTACACTTTTTCCTCGTTAGACCAGCCTCTCTGGTATTAGTTATCATTTATTTAGTGTTTACACTGTTCCAAATTGTCTGAAAAATAATATTTATAATAACATTAATAACCCTCCTTTTTCTTGATCTCCTTATTGTTATTATTACTATTATTGTTATGATCATCACTATTATAATAATAAGTAATGTCATTATCATTAGTAGGCTTAGTATAGCAGCCTTGTATAACCACCATCGAGCTGTAGGCATAAGATCACATCCTGTTTAGTCTTAATACCGTAACTTACTTAGACCTATATGTCAATACTTATATAGGCTACATAGGAATAGTTTGATCAAGAGAGGAACAAACAGAAACGGTGACATCCTCATAACCTGCACTCCAACCTAAATCTACCCCGTTATTAACCCAAATTGGCCTTAACCCCCCTTGGCGTTTTTCCTATTTTGTTGCATTACAACCTGTAATTTAAATGGATTTTTATTTGGATTTCATGTAATGGACATACACAAAATTGTCCAAATTGGTGAAGTGGAATGAAAAAAATAACTTGTTTCAAAAAATAAAAAAATAAAAATAACGGAAAAGTGGTGCGTGCATATGTATTCACCCCCTTTGCTATGAAGCCCCTAAATAAGATCTGGTGCAACCAATTACCTTCAGAAGTCACATAATTAGTTAAATAAAGTCCACCTGTGTGCAGTCTAAGTGTCACATGATCTGTCACATAATCTCAGTATATATATATACACACCTGTTCTGAAAGGTCCCAGAGTCTGCAACACCACTAAGCAAGGGGCACCACCAAGCAAGCGGCACCATGAAGACCAAGGAGCTCTCCAAACAGGTCAGGGACAAAGTTGTGTAGAAGTACAGATCAGGGTTGGGTAAAAAAAATAATCAGAAACTTTGAACATACCACGGAGCAAACATGCCAAGAGAGCGCCGCCCACCAAAACTCACGGACCAGGCAATGAGGGCATTAATCAGAGAGGCAACAAAGAGACCAAAGATAACCCCGAAGGAGCTGCAAAGCTCCACAGCGGAGATTGGAGTATCTGTCCATAGGACCACTTTAAGCCGTACACTCCACAGAGCTGGGCTTTACAGAAGAGTGGCCAGAAAAAAGCCATTGCTTAAAGATAAAAAAAAGCAAACACGTTTGGTGTTCGCCAAAAGGCATGTGGGAGACTCCCCAAACATATGGAAGAAGGTACTCTGGTCAGATGAGACTAACATTTAGCTTTTTGGCCATCAAGGAAAACACTATGTCTGGCGCAAACCCAACACCTCTCATCACCCCGAGAACACCATCCCCACAGTGAAGCATGGTGGTGGCAGCATCATGCTGTGGGGATGTTTTTCCACCGGCAGGGACTGGGAAACGGGTCAGAATTGAAGGAATGATGGATGGCGCTAAATACAGGGAAATTCTTGAGGGAAACCTGTTTCAGACTTCCAGAGATTTGAGACTGGGACGGAGGTTCACCTTCCAGCAGGACAATGACCCTAAGCATACTGCTAAAGCAACACTTGAGTGGTTTAAGGGGAAACATTTAAATGTCTTGGAATGGCCTAGTCAAAGCCCAGACCTCAATCCAATTGAGAATCTGTGGTATGACTTAAAGATTGCTGTACACCAGCGGAACCCATCCAACTTGAAGGAGCTGGAGCAGTTTTGCCTTGAAGAATGGGCAAAAATCACAGTGGCTAGATGTGCCAAGCTTATAGAGACATACCCCAAGAGACTTGCAGCTGTAATTTCTGCAAAAGGTGGCTCTACAAAGCATTGACTTTGGGGGGGGGGGGGGGGGGGGTGAATAGTTATGCACGCTCAAGTTCAGTTTTTTTGTCTTATTTCTTGTTTGTTTCCCCCCCAAAAATATTTTGTATCTTCAAAGTGGTAGGCATGTTGTGTAAATCAAATGATACAACCCCCCCCAAAATCCATTTTATTTCAAGGTTGTAAGGCAACAAAGTAGGAAAAATGCCAAGGGGGGTGAATACTTTCGCAAGCCACTGTATATTGTTCAGAACCCAGTCACTTTAACCCAGTTATTCAAGGACAGTGTCAAAACAACTCATTATAAACATACACATGTATGGGAGGAGAGAGAGGAAGGGAGCGAGGAAGGAGAGTGTCACGGATTCTACCGAGGCTGCCCTTCCTCCTTGCTCGGGCAGGCTTCGGCGTTTGTCGTCACCAGAGTACTAGCTGCTGCCGATCTATGTTCTATGTTTCTATGTTCTACCTGTTGTTGTCTGATTGTTTCACACCTGTTTCCCATCTTGTAATTACTCCGTCCCTATTTAACCCTGTGGCTCCCATTGTGCTCTGTGCGTGTTTGTTTATTGTTTCGTGTGTCATTGGTGAGCGGGTTTGTTCCTCCCTGCGTGGAGGTTTACTTGTTTCTTTACGTGTTCAGTAAAGTTACGTTTTGATTTAGTTCTGTGTCCTGCGCCTGACTTTGTCTACCGCATTACACTGACACCGTGACAGAAACACGCACCAATATCGAGTCAGCAGGAACAGCCGGATTTACCGAGACGATGGAGGAACGAGTCCAACGTCAAGAGACGATGATTCAGACTCTCGGTGCCACAATGGAACGAGTGTTCCAGATGATGGAACGATTGGAGAGAGGTGGTATCCCTTCACCATTTCCAACCACTCAACCACCTACAACACTGGCTACCACTTTGCCACCTGGGTCCAGTGGAATTCGGCTCTCGCTCCCGAGGGCATATGACGGTACACCTGCCGGGTGCCAGGGATTTCTCCTCCAGGTAGAGCTCTACCTGGCCACTATTCACCCGGCGCCCTCGGGATACGAGAGCGTGTCCGCCCTCATCTCCTGTCTATCGGGGAAGGTGCTTGAGTGGGCCAACGCCGAGTGGGGAGGAATAGACTCGAGAACTGTCTGCTATGAGGATTTCACCCGCCGCTTCCGGGCGGTATTCGATCATCCACCCGAAGGGAGTGCGGCGGGAGAACGTCTGTTCCACCTACGACAGGAGATGAGGAGCGCGCAGGAGTTTGCGCTAGAGTATAGAACTTTAGCAGCCAGCGCGGGATGGAATGAGAGGGCCCTGATCGACCACTATCGTTGCAGCTTAAGGGAGGACGTCCGTCGGGAACTTGCCTGCAGGGACACCAATCTCAACCTGGACCAACTGGTGGACATGTCCATCAGGTTGGATAACCTGTTGGAAACACGCAGACGTTCTGATGGGGGGCCGTCCATTCCATCCCCCAGCACCTCCGAGCCTACCCCCATGGAGCTCGGAGGTGCTACGGTTAGGGAGACTGGGAGAGGGACCGTCCGCTGCACCAACTGTGGCCGCAGAGGACACACTGCTGGTCGGTGCTGGGGAGGGTTCTCAGGAGGTTGAGGCAGCAGGCAGAGCACTGGTCGACCGTCTCAGGTGAGTAGGCACCCGACTAACCCAGAGCTCCCTGTTGCTAATATGTGTATAGATATTATGTTTCCAGAGTTTTCTCCCCATTCCCAGCATAAGGCGCTAGTAGATTCAGGCGCGGCTGGGAATTTTATTGATCGCCAGTATGCCCGTAGTTTAGGGATTCCTACTGTGTCTGTTGACAAACCTTTCCCTGTGCATGCATTAGATAGTCGCACGTTAGGGTCAGGCATAATCAGGGAGGTCACCGCTCCACTGCTGATGATGACGCAGGGGGGTCATGAGGAGAGGATTAGCCTCTATCTGATTGATTCTCCTGCGTATCCTGTGGTGTTGGGACTTCCCTGGTTAACCATTCATGATGCCACGATTTCATGGCAACAGAGGGCTCTCAAGGGATGGTCCGGTCAGTGATCAGGGAGGTGTTTAGGAGTTTCCTTGGGGGCAACTACGGTGGAAAGTCCAAACCAGGTTTCCACTATGCACATTCCTTCCGAGTATGCCGATTTGGCTATCGCCTTCAGTAAAAAGAGGGCGACTAAATTACCACCCCATCGTCCGGGGGATTGTGCGATAAATCTCCAGGTAGGAGCTGCACTTCCCCGGAGTCACGTGTATCCTTTGTCTCAGGAGGAGAAGGCGGCTATGGAGACATATGTCACCGAATCTCTGAGGCAGGGATACATTCGGCCATCCACTTCACCTGTCTCCTCAAGTTAATTTTTTGTGAAGAAGAAAGATGGTGGGTTACGCCCATGCATTGATTACTGTGGCCTAAATCAGATTACCATCAAGTACAGCTATCCATTACCCCTGATAGCTAGTATGACAGAATCATTGCACGGGGCACGCTTCTTCACAAAATTGGATCTCAGGAGCGCGTACAACCTAGTGCGTATCCGGGAGGGAGATGAGTGGAAGTCGGCATTTAGTACCACCTCTGGACATTATGAGTATCTGGTCATGCCATACGGGTTAATGAATGCTCCATCAGTTTTCCAATCATTTGTGGATGAGATTTTCAGGGACCTGCACGGACAAGGGGTAGTGGTGTAAATTGATGACATCCTTATATACTCCGCTACACGGGCCGAGCATGTGTCCCTGGTGCGTAAAGTGCGTGGACGACTGTTGGAGCATGACCTGTATGCTAAGGCAGAGAAATGCCTGTTCTTCCAGGAGTCCATCTCTTTCTTGGGGTTACCACATGTCCGCGTCAGAGGTGAGGATGGAGAGTGACCGCATTTCGACCGTGCGTAATTGGGCGACTCCAACCACGGTAAAGGAGGTGCAGCGATTTTTGGTTTTTGCCAATTACTACCGGAGATTTATCCGGGGCTTTGGTCAGGTAGCAGCTCCCATTACCTCGTTGCTGAAGGGGGGGCCGGTGCGTCTGCGGTGGTCAGCTGAGGCGGACAGGGCTTTTAGTCGTCTGAAGGACCTGTTTACCTCGGCTCCAGTGCTGGCTCATCCGGACCCCTCCTTAGCCTTCACGGTTGAGGTGGACGCGTCCGAGGCTGGGATAGGCGCTGTACTGTCTCAGCGCTCGGGTTCGCCACCTAAACTCCGCCCCTGTGCCTTCTTTTCGAAGAAGCGCAGCCCGGCGGAGCGCAACTATGATGTGGGGGACCCGGAGCTGTTGGCTGTGGTCGAAGCTCTGAAAGCGTGGAGACATTGGCTTGAGGGGGCTAAACACCCTTTTCTCATTTTGACTAACCACCGCAATCTGGAGTACATCCGGGCAGCGAGGAGATTAAACCCTCGCCAGGCAAGGCAAGGTGGTCCATGTTTCTCACCCGTTTTTCTTGCAGGCCAGGTTCCCAGAACGCTAAGGCAGATGCTCTGTTTCGACTGTATGACACGGAGGAGAGTTCCGTGGAGCCCACTTCCATACTTCCGGCGTCGTGTCTGGTGGCACCGGTGGTGTGGGAGGTTGACGCGGAGATCGAGCGGGCGTTGCGTAACGAACCCACTCCTCCCCAGTGTCCAGAGGGTCGTGTGTACGTACCGCTGGATGTCCGCGATCGTTTGATCTATTGGGCTCACACGTCACCCTCCTCTGGTCATCCTGGCATAGGTCGGACAGTGCACTGTCTTAGTGAGAAGTACTGGTGGCCCACCTTAGCTAAGGACGTGAGGGTTTATGTTTCCTCCTGCTCGGTGTGCGCCCAGTGTCAGGCTCCTAGACACCTGCTCAGAGGGAAATTGCAACCTCTACCCGTTCCACAACGACCATGGTCCCACCTATCGGTGGATTTCGTGACGGATCTTCCCCCCTCACAAGGGAACACCACGATCCTGGTCGTTGTGGATCTGTTTTCTAAGTCCTGCCGCCTCATTCCTCTGCCCGGCCTCCCTACGGCCCTACAGACTGCTGAGGCCCTATTTACACACGTCTTCCGGCACTACGGGGTACCTGAGGATATAGTGTCTGATCGGGGTTCCCAGTTCACCTCAAGGGTTTGGATGGCGTTCATGGAACGTCTGGGAGTCTCGGTCAGTCTGACCTCAGGGTTTCACCCCGAGAGTAACGGGCAGGTGGAGAGAGTACTGTCACGGATTCTGCCGAGGCTGCCCTTCCTCCTTGCTCGGGCAGGCTTCGGCGTTCGTCGTCACCGGAGTACTAGCTACTGCCGATCTATGTTCTATGTTCTACCTGTTGTTGTCTGATTGTTTCCCATCTTGTAATTACTCCGTCCCTATTTAACCCTGTGGCTCCCATTGTGCTCTGTGCGTGTTTGTTTATTGTTTCGTGTGTCGTTGGTGAGCGGGTTTGTTCCTCCCTGCGTGGAGGTTTACTTGTTTCTTTACGTGTTCAGTAAAGTTACGTTTTCATTTAGTTCTGTGTCCTGCGCCTGACTTCGTCTACTGCATTACACTGACACCGTGACAGAGAGAAAGGGAGAAAAATTAGGAAGAGAAGGGAGAGAGAGGTCATGGTCAACAACACCATTGACCAGTCACACGTCAGGCTGTAGACTGTAAACATGCTCTCGTGTACACATTAAAAGATGCAAAACACAACCCTTGTCTGAGCAGCTCAAACACTCCATATTCACAAGTTTATGTGGCTGCAGGAATATGGAAGCCTGCTCTGTCCGTCCATCAGTCTCGATGTCCGTCTGTCCATCTGACCAATCATCAAGTCTGAACATCAGCTATTCAATTACACCTAGCGCCAGCCAAACGTTAACCATCACTCAAATCATAACCTCATCTCTTCAGTCTCTCACTGCATCATCTTCTATCAGAGGATAGTCTAGATTCCAGAATCTTCTATATTCTAGAATGAAGATGGTGGGGAGGAGCGCAGCCAGACCAGATCAGCCGAGCAGCAGACAGTGAAAATTAAACATTAAACATGTGGATGTGATGGGAAGATTAATGATCACTCAGACAGAGCCTCCTTTCCTATTTTTGGGTCAATGCACTGTAATCCAATAACTGCAGTCTGTTGTTTTTTCACCCAGATATAGTACATGGAATCTTAACATTTCATCCCCATTTTCACAGAATTAATTTGTTCACCCAGACACCCAAGTCTGTGAGCTGTGTGTAGATCATGTAGATTTGTGTGAGGCTGTGTGTAGTGTAGTCAGATCTCTGTTAGTGTGTGTGTGTGTGTGTGTGTTCGGGCTCCCCAGGGAGATTCAGTCTGTCCGAGGTGTGACGTATTGGAGCAGCACATCAGGGGGGTTTTATGAATGGAGTGTGAGTGTGGTGCGATGACATACGCTCCACTTACAGACAAGAGTAAATGATGAACAGTTGGGTGTGCCAAAAGGAGAACAAAGCTGCAGCATTTTGCTGTGCAATTCAACACACTTCATCCTAAAACCATCATTTTTCCATGAGGGGCAGCAGTGGCTCGTGGGTCTGCATACCCACATCCATACGCCCCCCCACCTTGCGAGCAAAACATTTTAACGGCCTCCCTCGTGACAGCAAAGATTTAAACATTTCCTGCAATTCTACACATTTTGCCATGGGGCCGAGAGAAGATTTTGCAATTTTATAACTCATTTCATACAATTCTACTCATTTTGCCATTGGGCGGAGAGAAAAATTAGCAGTTTTACAACTAATTTCCTGCAATTCTAAACATTTTGACATAGAGGGTGGAGGCAAATGTTTGCAGTTTTTAATATGATAACTGATGATCAATCACCCCGGTCAGATAGCTGGCTGCTAGACTAACTTACCAATAAATATAAAAAAAACACTGACATGGGATAATTGAGTGACTGCTGATGCACAACCAAATTTTGAAATTGCACCTTGTGTATTCTATTATTCTAACTCTCAACAGTAAGTTGAGACCCCGAATGAGTTCCCTGTGTTAGATGTAAAATGAAAACTGACTGCATACAGTGCATTCAGACAACACTATATACAGTGGGGAGAACAAGTATTTGATACACTGCCGATTTTGCAGGTTTTCCTACTTACAAAGCATGTAGAGGTCTGTAATTTTTATCATAGGTACACTTCAACTGTGAGAGATGGAATCTAAAACAAAAACCCAGAAAATCACATTGTATGATTTTTAAGTAATTAATTTGCATTTTATTGCATGACATAAGTATTTGATACATCAGAAAAGCAGAACTTAATATTTGGTACAGAAACCTTTGTTTGCAATTACAGAGATCATACCTTTCCTGTAGGTCGTGACCAGGTTTGCACACACTGCAGCAGGGATTTTGGCCCACTCCTCCATACAGACCTTCTCCAGATCCTTCAGGTTTCGGGGCTGTCGCTGGGCAATACGGACTTTCAGCTCCCTCCAAAGATTTTGTATTGGGTTCAGGTCTGGAGACTGGCTAGGCCACTCCAGGACCTTGAGATAATTCTTACGGAGTCACTCCTTAGTTGCCCTGGCTGTGTGTTTCGGGTCGTTGTCATGTTGGAAGACCCAGCCACGACCCATCTTCAATGCTCTTACTGAGGGAAGGAGGTTATTGGCCAAGATCTCGCGATACATGGCCCCATCCATCCTCCCCTCAATACGGTACAGTCGTCCTGTCCCCTTTGCAGAAAAGCATCCCCAAAGAATGATGTTTCCACCTCCATGCTTCACGGTTGGGATGGTTTTCTTGGGGTTGTACTCATCCTTCTTCTTCCTCCAAACACGGCGAGTGGAGTTTAGACCAAAAAGCTCTATTTTTGTCTCATCAGACCACATGACCTTCTCCCATTCCTCCTCTGGATCATCCAGATGGTCAATGGCAAACTTCAGATGGGCCTGGACAAGCGCTGGCTTGAGCAGGGGGACCTTGCGTGCACTGCAGGATTTTAATCCATGACGGCGTAATGTGTTACTAATGGTTTTCTTTGAGACTGTGGTCCCAGCTCTCTTCAGGTCATTGACCAGGTCCTGCCGTGTAGTTCTGGGGCTGTTCCCTGACCTTCCTCATGATCATTGATGCCCCACGAGGTGAGATCTTGCATGGAGCCCCAGACCGAGGGTGATTGACCGTCATCTTGAACTTCTTCCATTTTCTAATAATTGCGCCAACAGTTGTTGCCTTCTCATCAAGCTGCTTGCCTATTGTCCTGTAGCCCATCCCAGCCTTGTGCAGGTCTACAATTGTATCCCTGATGTCCTTACACAGCTCTCTGATCTTGGCCATTGTGGAGAGGTTGGAGTCTGTTTGATTGAGTGTGTGGACAGGTGTCTTTTATACAGGTAACGAGTTCAAACAGGTACAGTTAATACAGGTAATGAGTGGAGAACAGGAGGGCTTCTTAAAGAAAAACTAACAGGTCTGTGAGAGCCAGAATTCTTACTGGTTGGTAGGTGATCAAATACTTATGTCATGCAATAAAATGCAAATGAATTACTTAAAAATCATACAATGTGATTTTCTGGATTTTTGTTTTAGATTCCGTCTCTCACAGTTGAAGTGTACCTATGATAAAAATTACAGACCTCTACATGCTTTGTAAGTAGGAAAACCTGTAAAATCGGTAGTGTATCAAATACTTGTTCTCCCCACTGTATATATCATATATCAAAGCTTTGTTGTGCACACACTCCCCTCCATATGCATACGCTAGCGTACCTGTAGACTCCCATTCATTGTGCTAATGCTAGTTAACATTGGCTTGCGGAACTACCTCTAACTTCCTTCATACTGCAAGCAGAGGCATAAGAATTGCCAGAATCTCGCAGTATCCCTTTAAAGTAGTCGCCCCCATGTGAAGAAGTCATAAGTATTTGGACTAATTCACTTATAGTGTATCAAAGTAGTCAAAAGTTAAGTATTTGTTCCCATATTCCTAGCACACAATGACTACATCAAGCTTGTGACTCTACAAACTTGTTGGATGCATTTGCAGTTTGTTTTGGTAATGTTTTGGATTATGTTTTGCCCACTGAAAGGTTAATAATGTATTGTGCCATTTTGGAGTCACTTTTATTGTAAGTAACAATAGAAGATGTTTCTGAACACTTCTGCATTAATGTGGATGATACCATGAATCGTGAATAATGATGAGTGAGAAAGTTACAGAGGCACAAAAATCATACCACCCCAGAAAATGCATGTTATTGTTGTAGCATCTCACTCATCATTATTCCTGACTCATGATGTTCAGAAACAACTCACAAAGAAAATTACATTCCCCATTCAGTTACTATTGGCCAAAACATAATCCAAAAGACAACCAAAACAAACTGCAAATGCATCAAACCAGCTTGTAGAGTCACAAGCTTGATGTTGTCATTGCGTGCAAGAAATATTGGATCAATCCTACTTTACATTGACATGGTGTCTTATCTTCTACTGGTCTGGTGATGGGACAAAACAACTGTACTGTACAACACTGTCTTAGACACAACCTGAGAGTAGTTTTTCAGCAATCTTAGACTTAAAGCACAAAACTCTGCATACAGATGAGTACACACAGAATGCATACAGTGGAATATAGTTTTTTAAGAAGCCTAGACAGACCCATAGAACACAAACTCAGCCCTGTCTTCTGAAGTGTGTGTGAAATATGTTCTGTGCTGCCTTCTAGGAGTGTGTATGTGTATCTTGTCCTACCTTGACCTCCTGACTGGTGAACACCTCAACGTCCACCACACAGGCGATGAGGACAGAGATATCACAGTCCAGGCTTCGTGAAGGCATTCTCACTCCTTTTTGCACCGCTCAGACAGACAGATAAAACAACTGCTAGAATCTACTGCTCGCTCTACAAAGGACAGCTGGTCCGGAGCACCTATGTGTGTGTTTTCGCCGGAGTGTGTGTGTGTTGTGCTCTGAAGAGCCCACTCTGTAGTAGTCTCTAGCAGTGAGGCAGGCTGGGTGTTACTCTGGGCTGGCTGGCTGGGGAAGCAGAGACGCTGTGGGAGAAATCAGCCCACTAGCCCCCCCCCTCCCCACACACACTCTCTCTCTCACACACATACACAAAATATCAAACAAGGCAGATATTCTTTTCACGTTGATCCTCTTGTACGGCTAAGCCTCTTGCCTTTCTCTCATCCTGAACTAGTGGGGTTATGCAGTGGAGCAAATAGAAAACGATGAGGTGCCAAAACTGTTTTTCTAACTAAACAACACAGACAGACAGCGTTGTGTCCGAGGCATGAATCACACCGCTGCAGACTCTGATTTGGGAAGGGAATGGGGAGGTTGTTACAGAGACACAGTCACCCAGTTAATATAACACACGTATTACTGATATGGAACAGAGCTATCATGCCTCTGATGGAACCCTGCATGTTGTCACTGATTTGCATTCCACACCATGCTCCCTAAAATCAAGAGACACACTGACTCAGACACACATAGGGCTCTGGGGAAGGACTCAAATAACATTCTGCAGTATGATCATTGGAACATACAGTGCCTTGCAAAAGTATTTATCCCCATTGGCGTTTTTCCTATTTTGTTGCATTACAACCTGTAATTTAAATTGATTTTTATTTGGAATTCATGTAATGGACATACACAAAATAGTCCAAATTGTTGAAGTGGAATGAAAAAAAAAAACTTGTTTCAAACAATTCTAAAATATAAATAACAGAAAAGTGGTGCGTGCATATGTATTCACCCCCTTTGCTATGAAGCCCCTAAATAAGATATGGTGCAACCAATTACCTCCAGAAGTCACATAATCAGTTAAATAAAGTCCACCTGTGTGCAATACCACGGAGCACCATTAAATCCATCATAAAAAAATTGAAAGAATATGGCACCACAACAAACCTGCCAAGAGAGGGCCGCCCACCAAAACTCACGGACCAGGCAAGGAGGGCATTAATCAGAGAGGCAACAAAGAGACCAAAGATAACCCTGAAGGAGCTGCAAAGCTCCACAGCGGAGATTGGAGTATCTGTCCATAGGGACCACTTTAAGCCGTACACTCCACAGAGCTGGGCTTTACGGAAGACTGGCCAGAAAAAAGCCATTGCTTAAAGAAAAAAAAAAGAAAACACGTTTGGTGTTCGCCAAAAGGCATGTGGGAGACTCCCCAAACATATGGAAGAAGGTACTCTGGTCAGATTAGACTAAAATTGAGGTTTTTGGCCATCAAGGAAAACGCTATGTCTGGCGCAAACCCAATACCTCTCATCACCCCGAAAACACCATCCCCACAGTGAAGCATGGTGGTGGCAGCATCATGCTGTGGGGATGGTTTTCTTCTGCAGGGACTGGGAAACTGGTCAGAATTGAAGGAATGATGGATGGCGCTAAATACAGGGAATTTCTTTAGGGAAACCTGTTTCAGTCTTCCAGAGATTTGAGACTGGGACGGAGGTTCACCTTCCAGCAGGACAATGACTCTAAGCATACTGCTAAAGCAACACTCGAGTGGTTTAAGGGGAAACATTTAAATGTCTTGGAATGGCCTAGTCAAAGCCCAGACCTCAATCCAATTGAGAATCTGTGGTATGACTTAAAGATTGCTGTACACCAGCGGAACCCATCCAACTTGAAGGAGCTGGAGCAGTTTTGCCTTGAAGAATGGGCAAAAATCACAGTGGCTAGATGTGCCAAGCTTATAGACACATACCCCAAGAGACTTGCAGCTGTAATTACTACAAAAGGTGGCTCTACAAAGCATTTACTTTGGGGGGTGAATAGTTATGCACGCTCAAGTTCTGTTTTTTGTCTTATTTCTTGTTTGTTTCACAAGAAAAAATAAAAAGTGGTAGGCATGTCGTGTAAATCAAATGATACAACATCCCAAAAAATTAATTTTAATTCCAGGTTGTAAGGCAACAGAGAAAAATCTCATTTACATAAGTCTTCACACCCCTGAGTCCATACTTTGTAGATGCACCTTTGGCAGCGATTACAGCTGTGAGTCTTTCTGGGTAAGCACTAACTCCAAAAAGTTTTGGGACACTGTAAAGTCCATGGAGAATAAGAGCACCTCCTCCCAGCTGCCCACTGCACTGAGGCTAGGAAACACTATCACCACCGATAAATCTACAATAATCGAGAATTTCAACAAGCATTTTGCTACGGCTGGCCATGCTTTCCACCTGGCTACCACTACCCCGGCCACCAGCTCTGCACCCTCTGATGCAACTCGGATGCCTCCAACACTCTACTCAGCAAATTGGATGTAGTCTATCACAGTGCCATCCGTTTTGTCACCAAAGCCCCATATACTACCCACCACTGTGACCTGTTGTTGGCTGGTCCTCACTACATATTCGTCGCCAAACCCACTGGCTCCAGGCCATCTATAAATCACTGCTAGGCAAATCCCCGCCTTATCTTAGCTCATTGGTCACCATAGCAACACCTACCGTATTCTGCGCTCCAGCAGGTATATCTCACTGGTCATCCCCAAAGCCAACACCTCCTTTGGCCACCATTCCTTCCAGTTCTCTGCTGCCAATGACTGGAACAAACTGCAAAAATCTCTGAAGCTGGAGACTCTTATCTCCCTCACTAACTTTAAGCATCAGTTGTCAGAGCACCTTACCGATCACTGCACCTGTACACAGCCCATCTGAAATTAGCCCACTCAACTACCTCATCCCCATATTGTTATTTATTTTGCTCATTTGCACCTCAGTATCTCTATTTGCACATAATCTCTTGCACATCTATCATTCCAGTGTTAATACTAATTGTAATTATTTTGCACTATGGCCTATTTATTGCCTTACCTCCATAACTTGCTACATTTGCACACACTGTATATATATTTTCTGTGGTATTTTTGACTTTATGTTTTGTTTTACCCCATATGTAACTCTGTGTTGTTGTTTTTATAGCACTGCTTTGCTTTATCTTGGCCAGGTCGCAGTTGTAAATGAGAACTTGTTCTCAACTGGCTTACCTGGTTAAATAAAGGTGAAATAAAAATAAATAAATAGAAAAGTCTCTAAGAGCTTTCCACACCTGGATTGTGCAACATTTGCCCATTATTCTTTCAAAATTCTTCAAGCTCTGTCAAATTGGTTGTTTATCATTGCTAGACAACAATTTTCAGGTCTTGACATAGATCTTCAAGTAGATTTAAGTCAAAACTTTAACTCGGCCACTCATGAACATTCACTGTCTTCTTGGTAAGCAACTCCAGTGTAGATTTGGCCTTGTGTTTTAGGTTATTGTCCTGCTGAAAAGTGAATTAATCTCCCAGTGTCTGTTGGAAAGCAGACTGAACCAGGTTTTCTTCTAGGATTTTGCCTGTGCTTAGCTCCATTCCGTAATTTTTTTATCCTGAAAAACATCCCAGTCCTTAACCATTACAAGCATACCCATAACATGATGCAGTCACCACTATGCTTGAAAATATGGAGAGTGGTACTCAGTAATGTGTTGTATTGGATTTGCCCCAAACATAACACTTTGTATTCCGGACAACAAGTTAATTTACTAGCCAAATTCTTTGCAGTATTACTTTAGTTCCTTGTTGCAAACAGAATGCATGTTTTAGAATATTTTTTTGTTCTGTACCGGCTTTCTTCTTTTCAATTAGGTTAGTATTGTGTAGTAACTACAATGTTGTTGATCCATCCTCAGTTTTCTCCTATTACAGCCATTAAACTCTGTAACTTTTTTAAAGTCACCATTGGCCTCATGGTAAAATCCCTGAGCGGTTTCCTTCCTCTCCGGCAACTGAGTTAGGAAGGACGCCTGTATCTTTGTAATGATTGGGTGTATTGATACACCATCCAAAGTGTAATTAATAACTTCACTATGCTCAAATAGATATTCAATGTCTGCTTTTTCTCTTTTTTACCTATCTACCAATAGGTGCCCTTCTTTGCGAGGCATTGGAAAACCTCCCTGGTCTTTGTGGTTGAATCTGTGTTTGAAATTCACTGCTCGACTGAGGGACCTTACAGATAATTGTATGTGTGGGGTACAGAGATGAGGTAGTCATTCAAAAATCATGTTAAACACTATTATTGCACACAGAGTCCATGCAACTTATTATGACTTAATAAGCACATTTTTACTTTGCCATAACAAAAGGGTTGAATACTTATTGACTCATGATATATCAGCTTTTCATTTTTTATTAATTTGTAAAGAAAAATCTAAAAACATAATTCTACTTTGACATTATGGGGTACTGTGTGTAGGTCAGTGACACAAAATCTCAATTTAATCCATTTTCAATTCAGGCTGAAAAAGTCAAGGGGTGTGAATACTTTCTGAAGGCACTGTATGTACTTTTTACTCCCACACATTTTCCCTGACACCCAAAAGTACTTGCTACATTTGGAATGCTCAGGCAGGACAGCAATATGGTCCAATTCACACACTTTCCATATAACACGTTGTCATCCCTACTGTCTCTGATCTGGCGGAGTCACTAAACACAAATACTGCGTTTTTGAGTGTTGGAGTGTGCCCCTAGCTGTCCGTAAAATAATAAAATAATAATTGTGCCGTCTGGTTTGCTTAATATAAGGAATTTGATGTATAGTATTTACTTTTACGTTTTACTTTTACTCAAGTATGACAATTTAGTACTATCCAACACTATACTTAATTATATTTAAAACCAGATATTTATATACTTTTACTCAAGTAGTATTTTACTGGGGTGACTTTCACTTTTACTTGAGTCATTTTCTATTAAGGTATGTTTACTTTTACTCAAGTATGACAACTGGGATCTTTTTCCACCACTGATAATACCAAAAGCATTG